TCTGTTGACATTAGTCACTTGGTACAGTAAACTCATTTTCCCCATTTTATTATCTTAGTACTTAGTACCGACTTGAACACTCACTGCACATTTTATAGTACGATACTGGGAGCTCATAATTTTTTATTTACTTTTTTTTTTTACCTTCTCGTACACGGGGTATAGGGTGAAGAATTGTAATCGTGCTGAAAATCGAAATCATTTACAGCATCCCTAAGTCGGAAAAAAACCAACTTTGCTATCTTGTCTATATATATGTGTGTGTGTTTGTGTATGAACACAATAATTTGAGTACAGTTTCAGTTAGGTGCAATATATTGCATATAGGCCTATAAATATTAGACTTTACATAGTTTCCTGTCAGATTTTGGGCTATTTTTGATTCCCGGAAGTGGTACTTTTTTATATCCGGTTTTTTTCAAAAACCATCTGAATTAGATAATTTGATACCATATTCCCCACAATGCAGCCTATTCTAAGAACGTTTAGGCCTAGCCTATATGTGATTTCACGAAAACCGAGCGGTTTTTTTTTTTCAAAACAAATCTACCATTTTCAATGACCGATTCCGATTGAAGTGCCTTTCCAACCCTTGCTTGTTATGTAGATTCCAGTCACTTTCACCTATTTTCACTATCCTAATATATAAAAGACCATGTGCGCACTTATCTCTCTCTTTCTCACTCACTCACATTGCGTTTTGACCATTAACTATTTTATAAAATTTAGGATATTGGTAGCCTTTGTTTATTTAAATGTACCGAATTTTTAGCTATTTAATTATTTCTTTGTTTTGTCACTAATATCTCAACGTGTAGTGTTGCATTTTGATCAATAACTATTTTATAACTTATTATTTCCAAATATGTATAACATTAAAAATATATAGGCCTATAATTCACGTGAAACGGGAACCGATGGCTAGTAACTATAAATTATAAATACATTTTAAAAATTGGGTTCACCAGGAGCATTCCATTTCAGAAACGTGGATCTTGTAAATGTCTCTCTCACCCGACGCTATAAGCAAACACAGCCTATTTGTTATAATATAATACTTGAATGTTGGCTTATTAACATCGAATATACAATAGTAACATATTTAGTGGTATGGAATTTTTAAAAAAAAATAGTGTCTTCGTTGGCGCGCAGTTTTGGACACAAATGGGCGTTGCTTGTTCAGTTATTAGTGCGTTAACCCTTTTGTGGACACTCCAGTTGGCCAAGGCCACATTGACGGGCTCTACACATTAGTCTGTGTGTGACAGTGGAACAGCCCGAGAAAAAGACATCTTGCTCGTTACGTCTCTTCTTCTGTTAACCGTCGTCCTTAGTTACAGGAATTATTTTATTTGGACTTGAGAAGAATGACGATAGTGTTTACATGCGTCTGTAGTTAATTCAATGAAATCAATGCTTTAGTGAATCGATACGTTTGTTATCTTGCCAGTCTCAAGTTTGATACATTCATTGTATAAAGTATGTTTGTTTTCACTGCGCCTTTTCAACACGTGTTTTATCGTATGATAATTGTCGTGTGTTTGAGATCTAACATAACATATGCCGCGAAAAGACCTCTTTGTCTTGTGAGGGATTGTGTACCGGACTAGGTAGAGACGGGTACAATCTTCTAAACTAAACATTCCGCTCTTGTCTGTGTGTGCTTGTTATTTGAAAACACCACTGAGTTATTCCCACCACATTTACATAAACTATTACAATGATTTAACTCACGTGGATGGTCACCGTAGTTCCTGGTCAACCGCACACCTCAGAAGTAATAGGTCTCCACAAGGAAATCTCAGAAACGGCCAATGTCCAAATTATTAGCTCTTTTTATGTAGCTTGGAGCCGTCTAATGCACGCAGTATACGCTTCAGAGACGGGTGGACAATTTACACCGTACCAAATTGTTCTCTACCCGTTCTTAATATCATACCATTTGATGCTTTCCATTTAGAAATACTATTTTTAATCTAGATCTACTACCCACCACCACTCCACTGAATAAACTTTTCGAAAACGCTTGACAATACCACGACTAAGCACAGAAGGTGGGGGGAGGGAAGAAAGACATTTTAGTAACTGATTTTACTCTTAATTGTTTCAACAGCTTCATTCATACATGCTAATAATCAATTTGTATTTGAAGTTCATGTTGATTATACGGTTTTTTTTTTTAAACAAGTCTTAATATTAGCCGCTGATTATGTCAAGATGATGTGGCGGCATTGGTTACATTTAGTTTTTTGTTGGTGTTGTCGTGTTGTGCTGCCTTAAAAATCGTATTATTTTATTGCCAACTAGAGAGGATTTGTGTTGCTCGTCGTAACTGTAGTTTTGAGTGATGGGTCGCGGACAGTCCCAAGGTTTGTTTCATCAATCAAATACCTCTGCCTGCCATATTAGTTTTAGATGTGAATAGTGTACAGAGTGTAAGCTCAATAATTTCGTGCCCAAAAGTTTCACAGTTGAAAGCGATGTTTTATAGTCAGTCCTCATTCATTGGCTCCCTTTGGGGTCGTCCATAAATGACGTCACACTCGTAGGGGGGAGGGGGTCCGTAATTTTGTGACGGTGTGTGCTGAGGGGGGAGGGGTGGGGGGGGGGGGGAAAGGATCAGATGGTGCAACGTCACACTTTTGCATTATAAAAAAGCAATGTTAGAAAACGAAGTTAAACGTTATTTCGCGTTTTAGAAAACTGTTTTAATAAATTGTAATAGGAATCGATTAAAATACTCTATTTTGACAGAGTTCCGAAAAGATTTTGGAAAAAATAACCATGTTTTAAAAAAAAATTCAACTGCAATTTTGAGGGGGGTTGTAGGCCGAGGTGTGACGTCATTTTAGGGGGGGGTCTGGCTTTTTGTGACGATGTGTGACGGAGGGGAGGGGGGGAGGTAAAATCATCATATGTGTGTGTGTGTGTGTGTGCTTTTGTGTGTGTGTGTGCTATTTTACCAAATGTCTCGGTTACTATTCCTGAACGTTACTTGAAGTGTATTGCCCATTAAATTGCCCTTCACATTCCTGTTTTATCTCTGCTGATGGCTAGTGCATGGCCCACCCCTCCCTCACAACACCAGCTTCCCCTGTACTTTCAGTAAAGCCGAACGCCGTCTTACATTCTTTGATTGATCCCATTATTTACTAAATGACGCTGTGTCGTAGCCAACAAGTTTGTGACATACCTTACAGTGAGTGATGTCCTTGACCGCGATAGGTACTCTGTGAACGTATATAATCATTTTTATCATGCATATTTTATAACTGTGTTTGTTTTTTAAATTATAGTTTTTATAGATAATACGTTTAGCTGTTTAAAACTGTCTTGAAGTAGGCTAAGATAAAGGAGAAAGTTTTGTCGTTGCTTGCTAATCTCCTCAGGCGAACCGAACCATTCAATTCATGCCCATTCAATTCATGCGGTCTTCAAATATTTGCCTGTGTGTTCACATTCATTCTACCGTGTCTTCAGTGGCATATTAAAGCTAGATTTGAAATGTATCTTATTTGTTCTTCTGTGTGTTCAATTAGCTGTTACAATTCTTAGACCCACATATTATTTGCTTTTAGTTTTTATCTTTAATGAACATAGGTACCGATGCTTACATAGGCAGTTTTTATCGCTTAAATATTTTAATAGTTTTAATCAATAAACATTAGATTTTTTATACATTCTTCTATCATGTAGCTTATTGAAATAATTATTGTTTTAATACACAAATACTTCTGTTTCTTTTGTTATATTACTTTGAAATCATATGAAAAACATAAAAACTTGACATCCTATCTGTTTTGTTTGTGTGTGTTTCAAGAAGTAGTTTAACAATACTGCAGCACAGTGGAATCCCTTCATATTTCTCGTGTGGCCAGCCAGCATGCGACACAGTCATCCAGAGATTGGGAAATATTGAGTTTCTCACAGTGCACACGTTAGAGAGCAACAGAAAGCTTTATCTTGTTAGAGCATTGGCATGTCGCAGTTGTCAGTGTTAAACATTGTGTTTGCCCCGCGACCACACCGGCGGGCTGTGGCTAGCGCGGATATTTGGATATTTTAACGACGCGTGTTGGCACGCCATGCCCCCACCGCTGCCCGATAAAAGCTCCAAATCATCAGAATGTCCCAGTAGCTACATTTGTCACAGAAATTTTTTTTAAAGAACTAAAAAAAAGTGCTTATCCTTTTTTTAAAAATACCCAACCCATTTTAAAATATAGGGTCACTATTTTCAAGTTTTGGTTAGAGTTATGTGATCGCACCGACCAGAGTGTCAAGTTAGATAAGCTTCTGTTGTTTCATGAAACAAGTGGACGCTGCAAGCATCCAAGTAACGCACTCTTTCCCCGCTGTCTTCCACTGATTTATCCATCTCTGTCGCCACCAGCTAGTCTGTGTGGTCTGAAGGATTCGTCCTAAAACCCTGTTCACTTTTTACAAAGCTTTGCGTAAGGCGTCTTTTAAGTCCAGATCATTTTCTTTTCGCTCTTTTTAGTTTTTGTTTCCGGATAAATTTGTCAATATTTTCCTCACCCTTTCTTCCTGTTTTTAGTTTGTACTGTCAATATCAAACGATTGCACCCACGTCCTTTTTAAAGGAGAGTTCTATTTGTTGAAAAGTAAATTTTATGTGTGTGTGGTTGTGTGTGTATGTATATATATATAGATGGACAGATGGGTAGATAGATAGACAGACTGACTGACTGACAGATAGATAAATAATCATGGGAAAAAACTGAATTCACCTGTTGTAGTAACATGATTTATGTGAAAAAAACTTAATTCACCTGTTGTAGTTACATGATTTATGTGAAAAAAACTTAATTCACCTGTTATAGTAAAATGATTTATGTGAAAAAAACTTAATTCACCTGTTATAGTAACATGATTTATGTGAAAAAAACTTAATTCACCTGTTGTAGTAACATGATTTTAGCATTTGAGTTTTCCTGGCACGTTTGTAACCACCCCTACTTTTGTATGTTCATGTTTAGGGCTCTGATCCCCTGACACAAACAGCCAGAGGCAAACTACAAAATCAGCGCCAGAAACTTAATGAGAAAATTAACAAAGAGCTGAGGATGCGGGCAGGAGCAGAGAACCTTTACAAGTAAGTTATTCTTTAGTGGGGCTGCAGCTATACGTTTTAATTTACTCTGTTTGCACTAGGCAACACCATTTGTTCACATACACGTTATGCAACTGGTGATTGTATGGAGTGGTCACTTGCTGACCAGCATCTAATGGCATTGTGATGTAACTGGTGATTGTATGGAGTGGTCACTTGCTGACCAGCATCTAATGCATTGTGATGTAACTGGCGATTGTATGGGGTGGTCACTTGCTGACCAGCATGTAATGGCACAATTAATGTAACTGGCGATTGTGTGGAGTGGTCACTTGCTGGCCAGCATCTAATGGCATTGTGATGTAACTGGCGATTGTATGGGGTGGTCACTTGCTGGCCAGCATCTAATGGCATTGTGATGCAACTGGTGATTGTATGGAGTGGTCACTTGCTGACCAGCATGTAATGGCACAATTAATGTAACTGGCGATTGTGTGGAGTGGTCACTTGCTGGCCAGCATCTAATGGCATTGTGATGTAACTGGCGATTGTATGGGGTGGTCACTTGCTGACCAGCATCTAATGGCATTGTGATGTAACTGGCGATTGTATGGGGTGGTCACTTGCTGACCAGCATCTAATGGCATTGTGATGTAACTGGCGATTGTATGGAGTGGTCACTTGCTGGCCAGCATCTAATGGCATTGTGATGTAACTGGCGATTGTATGGGGTGGTCACTTGCTGACCAGCATCTAATGGCATTGTGATGTAACTGGCGATTGTATGGGGTGGTCACTTGCTGACCAGCATCTAATGGCATTGTGATGTAACTGGCGATTGTATGGGGTGGTCACTTGCTGACCAGCATCTAATGGCATTGTGATGTAACTGGCGATTGTATGGGGTGGTCACTTGCTGACCAGCATCTAATGGCATTGTGATGTAACTGGCGATTGTATGGGGTGGTCACTTGCTGGCCAGCATCTAATGGCATTGTGATGTAACTGGCGATTGTATGGGGTGGTCACTTGCTGACCAGCATCTAATGGCATTGTGATGTAACTGGCGATTGTATGGGGTGGTCACTTGCTGACCAGCATCTAATGGCATTGTGATGTAACTGGCGATTGTATGGGGTGGTCACTTGCTGACCAGCATCTAATGGCATTGTGATGTAACTGGCGATTGTATGGGGTGGTCACTTGCTGACCAGCATCTAATGGCATTGTGATGTAACTGGCGATTGTATGGGGTGGTCACTTGCTGGCCAGCATCTAATGGCATTGTGATGTAACTGGCGATTGTATGGGGTGGTCACTTGCTGACCAGCATCTAATGGCATTGTGATGTAACTGGCGATTGTATGGGGTGGTCACTTGCTGGCCAGCATCTAATGGCATTGTGATGTAACTGGCGATTGTATGGGGTGGTCACTTGCTGACCAGCATCTAATGGCATTGTGATGTAACTGGCGATTGTATGGGGTGGTCACTTGCTGACCAGCATCTAATGGCATTGTGATGTAACTGGCGATTGTATGGGGTGGTCACTTGCTGACCAGCATCTAATGGCATTGTGATGTAACTGGCGATTGTATGGGGTGGTCACTTGCTGACCAGCATCTAATGGCATTGTGATGTAACTGGCGATTTTGTGGAGTGGTCACTTGCTGACCAGCATGTAATGGCACAAGTGATGTAACTTTGGCGATTGTGTGGAGTGGTCACTAATGTAATGTCCTGTGTGATGTGTCGCTTGTACCTGTCGCGTTGATGTTCCAGAGCTGCCGAGAATAACAAGAAGCTGCGCGACAGGGTGGCCCTGGAGTTGTCCTACTTTAACTCAAACATACAGCTGTTGAAGGAACAGCTGTCAGACATGAACAGTTCTGTTGAGGTCTACCAACATGAAAAGTGAGTACACTTTTTGACACTCAACTCAATCCTTTTTCTTCTAGTTTCTACCTTTGTTTAAAAACCTAAAACAATAGTTTAAAAAACCTGTTGTACTTTAGGTATCTGACCGCTAATGTGTGCCTTTTATTTCTGCTTTGTGACCAGGACATTTTTTCTTCTATTTCCCAATGTTTACTTTTTACGTGATCACATGTGATAGACACACTTGCCATTTAGAAAATGCATTGATCAAATGTTACTCTATCTGTGAATGCTATAGATAAAAGTTATCATAGAAACTGCTAACTTCGGGCTTGTACTTTTTTTATAAACCCGTGTGGCAGTGTCACAATGATAAGGACAGTAAGACTCTATTAGTACGGAGCTATTTTACAGCCGTACTGTTTAGTTGATTGGCGCCTTTCTACCAAGGTCTCTGTGTTACCGCTTACACTATTTATGTGTTGGTTTCCTGCGTACCGTGTTCTCTGCCTATTTGCATTTGGTCTCCATTTGAAGACAACAACCAACGCACTTACCAGCTTATATTTTTTTTATATATATAATTTTTTAAAATTTTAAACACTTTATATTTATATTTGTTTTCAGAATTTTGAAATAGATTTCTATATTAGAATCGAATAGCGCAACCAAAAAAAAAAAATTAAATTAAACATAGAGCACTAAATAAATACACCAACTTGTGTTGATAGCGCCATGAAATAAATACTTTATTTAGCACTTTGATTTTTTTTTTTTTTTTTTTTTAAATATCTGGTTACATTGCATTGTCATCCCCATTGTTATTGGTTCGAAATTTCCGACCCCTAAGACAAAAGCATTAAGCGCCAGACCTAGTTATCTAAAGGCTTGTAAATAGCGCGTTCAGGCCGAAGTTATCTCTCCTTGTGGTCTTGTAGTCTTACTGTAGTCTTTGTTACACTCTCCTCTGGTGTAACCCTACCACATTTTTTCCTGGTCGCCAGGAATATTTCCATTCTATACCAACATTAACTCTAATTGCTAATCGTGTCCTAACATCTGTTTAGACAACAACAAAAACTTTCTAGTGAATATTTTTTACACGAATTATTTTACTTGTACAGAACTATTTTTACTCAACACTGTAGACATGGTTTGAAACCTCGTGCAAGGGTAAATTCTATTTCCTTTTTCAACCAGTTATGATGTATTTTTGGTTCACCAGCATTAGAAATCAATAGAGCGAGTTGATTCAGATAAACTTTTTATTTCAGGGTGCGTATGATGATGTATCGATACTGGCGATATTTGACCGTCACATAATCGATAGTCCCACAGTTAGTTGAGATGTTGGGTTTCACGCTGTCGCAGTTGTAACGTACATAAACATTGTCTAAACCCCTTGAAGGCTTCCCGTTATAGCGCTACTAATGTTCGGTTGCTGATGCCCCAGTTTAAAATATAACACCAGGGGTTACCATAAGGAATGAGGTCTATTGGGGGGGGGGGGGGCGCTCAGTGCCGCAATACATCGGCTGTATTGTGTGTGCTACAGATCTTTGACGATGTGTGACTGTACTACATATCTATGACGATGTGTGACTGTACTACATATCTATGACGATGTATGTCTGTACTACATATCTATGACGATGTGTGACTGTACTACATATCTATGACGATGTGTGATTGTACTACATATCTATGACGATGTGTGATTGTACTACATATCTATGACGATGTGTGACTGTACTACATATCTATGACGATGTATGTCTGTACTACATATCTATGACGATGTGTGACTGTACTACATATCTATGACGATGTGTGACTGTACTACATATCTATGACGATGTATGTCTGTACTACATATCTATGACGATGTGTGACTGTACTACATATCTATGACGATGTGTGACTGTACTACATATCTATGACGATGTGTGACTGTACTACATATCTATGACGATGTGTGATTGTACTACATATCTATGACGATGTATGTCTGTACTACATATCTATGACGATGTGTGATTGTATGTTATAGATGTATGACTGTATGTTATAGATCTATGACGATGTGTGACTGTATGTCGAAGACTTCCAGATTTGACGAGACTGCCATGCCCGCATTTGTTACCTGATCTCCTTGTACACTCGTGTCAACATGTGCGGACTGGTTTTTTTGGCCACTGCCCAAGTCTGTGTCACATAGGTGGAGATGTTTCTTGTTGTTGTCCCCTAGTACTATACACGGTTCGTACGTGGTCTGGTAAAGTCTTGAATTTAGAAAAGTGAATTTCAGACTTTAAAAAGTCTGGAAAATCGCTAGTTTTTGAAAGTCTGGAATCTAGTTTTAGAAACGAAACTTTTCCACGAAGTCCATATTTTCCGACTAACAAAATGGCTATACATTTTTTCCCCGCACTATAGCGGGTCTACCCTGTGTAATGTGTTATGACGCCGTGTTTCTTCCAGACTATTTTCTCCGGGGGAGGGGGGGGGACACTGTTAAAAATATATATTTTCTATATAAATTAATATAAATTTCATTTCGTTCGGGGGGGGGGGGGGGCGGTAGAATAGATGCCTGGAAGAAACTCTGTTATGACGTTTTATCGCAGGTTCGCTGAATAAACCCGATTGCTCAGTTACTACGTCATTGGGAGGGGAAGTGGGAGGGAAGAGATACTTTGTTGCTCGACTGACCGTGTAAAGAGTATTTAAAATGGTGATTTAATGAAAGAACGATCGCCCTCAACAATGTTAGGCTCGAGTTTACCCGCTATTTTTCCTTACGTTTGTCTGAGTTAACAGGCAGGCCGTTATAAAAAAATTATGGGGGAGGTGTATGAGTGGTAGTTTAGATATAATTTATATATCTGTGTTTTTAATCCCCTTTCTGTTAAACAGTATTAGAAATCTTTGCAAATGCTGACGATTAGGGCTAGACTAACCCATCCCTCCTTGTAAGTACGGTCACTTGTCGAACTCACCGTGACACCAAGTACGCTGTTGTTACTGCTTGGCTGGGGGGGGGGGGGGGGGAATAAAAGTCACATCACAATTCATGCTATGACGTATTAAAAGCACACTGAAATCTAGACTACCATGACCTCACAGTGACCTCTTCGCCGTGTCTTTTTACAGGGGGAGGGGACTATACAGGCACTTTTTAATTGCAGACTAAAGTTTCTCAGCTGTACTGTAAGCTTAAACAATGAATGATGTGGTTACAGCCTGCAGAATATTTTTTTTTTTTGCTCCTATTTTTCTTTTCAAGTAGCCTATTATATCCAACACTATTTACTAGATATAGGATCTATAGGACCCTCAGTACTCTAGATGGACATGTTTCTTAGGCTACCTGTAACATTCTCACATTGGGCACCATGATTCTGTAACAAAACTTACTCAAGGCTACCTGTAACATTCTCACATTGGGCACCATGATTCTGTAACAAAACTTACTCAAGGCTACCTGTAACATTCTCACATTGGGCACCATGATTCTGTAACAAAACTTATTCAAGGCTACCAGTAACATTCTCACATTGGCCACCATGATTCTGTAACAAAACTTATTCAAGGCTACCTGTAACATTCTCACATTGGGCACCATGATTCTGTAACAAAACTTATTCAAGGCTACCAGTAACATTCTCACATTGGCCACCATGATTCTGTAACAAAACTTATTCAAGGCTACCTGTAACATTCTCACATTGGGCACCATGATTCTGTAACAAAACTTATTCAAGGCTACCAGTAACATTCTCACATTGGCCACCATGATTCTGTAACAAAACTTATTCAAGGCTACCTGTAACATTCTCACATTGGCCACCATGATTCTGTAACAAAACTTACTCAAGGCTACCTGTAACATTCTCACATTGGCCACCAAGTTTCTGTAACAAAACTTACTCTAGGCTACCTGTAACATTCCAGCTGTCAACACATGGGGTTTTCTCGTGTTTGAAGCAGGTCATTTGCATAATGCAAATATCAGTAGTCACTTCACTAAGGACCTTTCACTTATCACCTCATGGCAATAGCTTGACCAGTGACACTATCAATGTCATGTTTAATACAATCAGTGTACAAACTTAGGTGTGAAGGATTAGTTTGCCTGTGTCCACCCACCAACCCCCCTCCTCCCAAACAAGATGTTGTTTAAGCAGGAAGCTTAAAGTGTCAGTGTTTTCTCTCAGGTCTAGTGGTAGCTGCCAGACTCATCCAACCCACCTTGTATTGAAGGACCTTTAGATTGTCACTGGTGGCCTTTACTGTGTTATCTCCTCACTTGAGTTACCCATGGTTTTCTCATCAAAGGGTCTCTTTAAAACTGGTTGGTTATCAGCTTAGGACAGTACTACACAGTCTATTGGACTACTTTTATGACATTGTTAAAACTGCCAAGGCTCCCTAGAATAGACACACATAAAAAAAAGATTTATAATATAATAGGATTCTTAGAACACAAACCTTTGTAAGGTTTCCCCACTATCAAATATGTCATCTATTTAAAACTAAGTTGCAATAGTTATATTGTATTATGAATGTTACAACTTATTCCCTCTGTACTTGACTAGTTTTATTTCTAGATAACCTCTTGTACAATTTAATTAGTTGTTTGAAGTTTTTTTGCAAAACAATAAAACATAATATCATTGTAACTATTTGTGATAATATCATTGTAACTATCTGTGTGATTGAACATTGCTGTAATGTTAACCTGTCCATTTTTCTACAAATACTTACTGAATACTTTAATGTAAATCTGCCCATTTTTCTACAAATACTTACTGGATACTTTAATGTAAATCTGCCCATTTTTCACAAATTCTTACTGAATACTTTAATGTAAATCTGCCCATTTTTCTACAAATACTTACTGAATACTTTAATGTAAACCTGCCCATTTTTCTACAAATACTTACTGAATACTTTAATGTAAACCTGCCCATTTTTCTACAAATACCTACTGAATAACAAAGATGTTTATTAACAGATGTCCATCACAGCTTTGCTAATCCGAAAGCCTTGAAACTTATCCTGAGTACCCCATGTTACATGACCTGATATATAATATTTGTTTGTCCTTTCTTCTACGGTATTTTTTCCACATTAGCTGTACAAGTATCAGGTGTACACAGAATATTGTTGTGTAGGATTTTGAAAAGGATTTTGTTATTAAAATCTCAGCAAGGGGCCACAATTCAATACACCTATACTTATCCAGCTATTTATGGTTTGCATAAAAAGGCAACCACCTGCACACAAAAAGAAAAAAAAATTTACAGTTTCATTTTTAGCAATTAAAAGTCTTAAAACTTATAATTTTATAAATGTATTTGATAAAATATTCACAATCAAACAACAAATTTTCATAAAATTTGAGATAGACCTTAAAAATTCATTGAATCTTTTCAGCTCTTCCAGCAATACACCTTTGATACCTCTAGGGTTGAAAGAGACAACACGAATTGATTTTTCTATGGCATTTAAAGTAAGTTAGTGTGTTTGATGTATGATCTTTTACCTAAACATTGAATATTTGGTTTTTAACCATTAATTTAAAGCATCACATATGCCTACATATTTTTTTTTAAATAGGATGAAATATTGGAGCATTACAGCGAAGATGGAAATAAATACAGTAAAGAAATACAAGAACTTTGTGATTTAAGGGAGGTAGGTGAATCTTGGTGTCTCAGTGACAAATGCAATGACCATTCGGTTTAAGATCAACCTTTATACATTTAAACCTTACACTGAAAATTATATATATATACATATATACATACATATATATAAATATATATATATATATATTATATATAAATACACACAAATATATATATTATTATTAATAGACCATTAAATGATTGTGCTTTGGAAATCCAAGCACAAAGCCTTCTCTCCACACTGCTGATGGACCCATTGGGCAGGATGTTATCCATACATTTTGGAATCAGCTGTGTTGCAGGAGTTGCCCAAAGGAAACCAGAGTTGGTCATCCCATCGCCTAAGAGGCGCAACTATTCTTTGTTTTGGAGTTTTCTCTCCTAGATTGATTGCTGACCTGAGCTGACAAGCCTCATCTGCCCTAGGGTTTGAACTTGTGACTTTTGGGTTAACAGCTGTGTGCTTACCCGCCCAAGCACCCTGACCCTGAAAAAAAAATAAACCGGGAGTGATCTCCCCTAAACTTTCTCGAATATTCTTATATAAAATAACAGGGGATGGGAACTCGGGCTATAGGCATGATTTTTAATCCATTTTAAATACTTAAAGTTTTAAAAATAGAATAAAATCTCGTTGACAAATTAATTGCACACCAAGTGAACGCCAAATAAAAAAGCGCATAATAGTGCACAATATTATTAGTACTTTTAAAATTTACATTAGTTTTTTGAGAAATCGGAAGTAGCGTAAATTACTACTTCCAGTCAACGGAAATTACTCAAAATTTAACAGAAGGTAGAGAATCAGATCTTTTACTTACATGTGAAATTTCATTTATCTATCTGAAATAGTACTCAAGTTATAGGCTTTTGAAAAATTCAAAGTAGGAAAAGTACCACTTCCGGTTATCGGAAATCGCTCAAAAGTTGATACGGATCTACGATTTTGATAAAATACTTATATATGAAATTTCATCAACCTAGCTGTAACGGTACTCAAGTTATCGTGTTTACACACGGACAGACAGACAGACAGGCACACAGACATACGGACAAGATTGCAAAATCATGTTTTTCCGTATCAGTGAGGTGTAAAACGTCGAGATTTTTACAAATCTTGATTTTTTATTTTTTTTTTGCACGATTACAAGACTTTCTCTATACTTCGTATATACGAGAAAGTAAATATGAGCATCAATATATGATTTAAATGAGACTAACCATGTTTTGATCTCCAGGCTGTGCGTACACCTGAAAGAAGCCATGCTGGTGTGGAACTTTTAATGGAATATTTTAACCAGCTCAGCTACTTAGAGAAGCGCTTTTTCTCTGGTAAACGCAACTTACCTTTGTACTTTCATTGGTAAGTCTGGAATTAAACTTGAGCAAAAAAAAAAAATTAAAAATATATATTCCAGTTGATAAGGTGCTTGATTTATCTATCCATCAATGGGCAAAACATTTTCATTTAGGTTTTACAATGAACCAAAAATACGATATTAGGAAAGCATGAAATACATTAAATTATGACATGGTTAATATGAAGATTAGTTCTGGACTTAAAAATCCTTCAATTCTCTTTCGCTGCAGGTATGATTGTTTAACAGGTATACCTGATACACAAAAGTCCATTGGATTTGAAAAGGGGAGCATCTTGTATAATATTGGAGCATTGTACACACAGATAGCTTGTAAACAGGTCTGTTGATTCACTCTTACTTGAAATTCTTTGAATGCTCATGTGCTTAGGATTTTGAAGTTTTTGATTAATCTTTAAAATAATTAATGTATTTTCTTAGTTTGTAAGAAATGGAATGAACTGAAGCAACTTATCAATGTTTGTATTCCTTAAAACAGGATAGAACAATAAAAGAAGGATTAGTACAGGCCATTGTAAACTTTGAGAAGGCAGCTGGAGCATTCAAGTACTTAGAAAACAGATTTAGTTCAGCTCCCAGTCAGGACATGCAGCCAGATACATTGGCCATGTTGGGCTCCTTAATGCTGGTAACTGTCCTTTTAGTATAACATGTGTTTAACTTTGGCTATGCTGGTAACTGTGCTTTTTGTATAACATGTGTTTAACTTTGGCTATGTTGGTAACTGTGCTTTTTGTATAACATGTGTTAAACTTTGGCTATGTTGGTAACTGTCCTATTTGTTGAACATGTGTTTAACTTTGGCTATGTTGGTAACTGTGCTTTTTGTATAACATGTGTTAAACTTTGGCTATGTTGGTAACTGTCCTTTTTGTTGAACATGTGTTTAACTTTGGCTATGCTGGTAACTGTCCTTTTTGTTAAACATGTGTTTAACTTTGGCTATGTTGGTAACTGTCCTATTTGTTGAACATGTGTTTAACTTTGGCTATGTTGGTAACTGTGCTTTTTGTATAACATGTGTTAAACTTTGGCTATGTTGGTAACTGTCCTTTTTGTTGAACATGTGTTTAACTTTGGCTATGCTGGTAACTGTCCTTTTTGTTAAACATGTGTTTAACTTTGGCTATGTTGGTAACTGTGCTTTTTGTATAACATGTGTTTAACTTTGGCTATGTTGGTAACTGTGCTTTTTGTATAACATGTGTTAAACTTTGGCTATGTTGGTAACTGTCCTATTTGTTGAACATGTGTTTAACTTTGGCTATGTTGGTAACTGTGCTTTTTGTATAACATGTGTTAAACTTTGGCTATGTTGGTAACTGTCCTATTTGTTGAACATGTGTTTAACTTTGGCTATGTTGGTAACTGTGCTTTTTGTATAACATGTGTTAAACTTTGGCTATGTTGGTAACTGTCCTTTTTGTTGAACATGTGTTTAACTTTGGCTATGCTGGTAACTGTCCTTTTTGTTAAACATGTGTTTAACTTTGGCTATGTTGGTAACTGTGCTTTTTGTATAACATGTGTTTAACTTTGGCTATGTTGGTAACTGTGCTTTTTGTATAACATGTGTTAAACTTTGGCTATGTTGGTAACTGTCCTATTTGTTGAACATGTGTTTAACTTTGGCTATGTTGGTAACTGTGCTTTTTGTATAACATGTGTTAAACTTTGGCTATGTTGGTAACTGTCCTATTTGTTAAACATGTGTTTAACTTTGGCTATGCTGGTAACTGTCCTATTTGTTGAACATGTGTTTAACTTTGGCTATGTTGGTAACTGTGCTTTTTGTATAACATGTGTTAAACTTTGGCTATGTTGGTAACTGTCCTTTTTGTTGAACATGTGTTTAACTTTGGCTATGTTGGTAACTGTGCTTTTTGTATAACATGTGTTTAACTTTGGCTATGTTGGTAACTGTGCTTTTTGTATAACATGTGTTTAACTTTGGCTATGTTGGTAACTGTTCTTTTTGTTGAACATGTGTTTAACTTTGGCTATGTTGGTAACTGTCCTATTTGTTGAACATGTGTTTAACTTTGGCTATGTTGGTAACTGTCCTATTTGTTAAACATGTGTTTAAAATTGTCCTTAATGTCCTTTATGTTGAACATGTGATAACTTCTTATCCAACTATTTACCATTATCAAACTATGAAAATGTGTTATCCAATTTTTTGTAGGCTCAGGCCCAAGAATGTGTGTTAGAAGACAGACTAATTAGTGGATCCAAGGATGGGGTGTATAACTGTACTCAAATAGCTCACGAGTCAGCTATGGTAGGTTGTGTTTTTATAATCACTTAATTGTTTGCAAGTAATTATCAGATGATACAACTAAAAGGACACCTGTTGATTAACCTAAATATTTTAAATGCTCTCCCTTTCAGGTGTCACAGAAGTATAAGGACACACATAGCAAAATGTGCACTGAACCAATTAAGAGTTACTTGCCTTTCTCATGGCTTTCAATGGCAGAAACAAAGTATCATTTCTATAGAGGATTAGCTCACTACTATGTGGCCTTAGCTCTGTTAGAGCAGAAAGGTAGCTTTTATAGGTTAAGATGTGGTGTATGTTTATCTGTACAATACATTTTATTAAGCATTCTTATAGCAATGTTAACTAGCAGTATTTATTATGTTTAAATCATTCTAAATGGCTGACTTTGGCTGTACCAATAGATAGTTCTGACATGTCATCACTGAAGCTGATGTTTGAGGCTATACATTCAGAAGTTGAACCCAGGGATGAAAATAATGGTCTCAAGCTTCCTGCAACTGAAGAAGAGCGCAAGAATTTAGGTATATAAACTTTTACTGGAGTTGTTGTGTGTAGTTGATGTTGTTGACTCCATCCATGTTTTATATACACAACACTCTTATTTCCTTAGGGCGGGCACATTTACGTGAATCTGTGGTGAATCATGAAGAATCAATCAGAATACACAACTTGTGCAAACAGTTGCGTAAAATTGATACATTCAGAGATATTCTGCAGAAGACACATGAAAGGTAACTTAATAATATAATACATACAAAATATTTTTCTAAGGTTTGCACATAGAAAGAAGAGTCGAGTTGGTGGTGCTGTACTTGTCTTAAGCCTATTATATGGTGCAGTACTTCTCTTTAGGCATTTAGGTGGTGCTATACTTGTCTTTAGGCTACTATACTTGTCTTTAGGCATTTGGGTGATGCTATTATATGGTGCTGTACTTGTCTTTAGGCTATTATATGGTGCTGTACTTGTCTTTATGCTATCTTTAAAATTATAGTATAAAATTTCAAACATGTTCTGTTCTCTGTACAGTGTTTAACTTTATATGTATCTGTATCAGGGCCTTAAACAGGTTCTCTGCTCTTGAAGAAGAAGATGACTTCTCAGAAATGCTCACAGTTACAGAAATAGTGAGCAAGTCAGAACACAACTCACTTGCTGTAGGGCTAGACTTTTCCAAAGTTAAAGTTGTAGATATCTTTAAAAAGCTGGTAAGTGACTTCAACCATCAAAAAAATATTTTTGAGTTATACTTTCTGAGTTAATACTTTATATTTATTTATTTTTTTACAAATTCCTCAACCAGTGTTTCTTTTTAAATTTTTTAATTTATTTAAAGCACCTTTTTAATTTAAAAAAATAATTAAACTGAATGATGTTAAATGTATTTTTAAAATTTGTGGTATGAAAAAAAATGTTTACTTTGTTTTTACAGGGTCCAATAACTGTGTTCAATGCTGCTAATGATTGGTCTGCTCCAAGAACTGTTGTTTTGGAAAGAAAACCCAGTGAAGGATTTGGTTTTAGTGTCAGAGGTGACTCACCAGTCATTATAGCAGACATGGAGGAGGATTCAGTAGCTGCTGTGAGTGTTGATCTTCTCAGACAAACCACCTCAACTAGTTTACCCATAATTGCTGCAATTCTAGAAGAAAGGCGGACACAAAATTTTAAGAGAAATTCATCAACACTTTACCAATCATATATTTTAAGACAAGTGACCTTGTTTTCCAAAGCAGTTATTTAAATGTAATCAATGCCTGCGCTATATTTCTTAGCAAGGTTTGTCCACACTACTGCCCAGTGCTCCAGGGGCGCCCTAGGTGCTCCAGGTCACCCGATCACAGAGGCTCTGGTGGATTTGCTTGGTACAGTTAAACCAAGTAGTTAAACAAGTAGTACCCCTGACCCCATGAAGGATGCCCAGCAGATCCCAGGTGCTAAGATAGCCCCTAGGGAACTCTGGGCTCCAAATTGCACCCTGCATCCCCTCCAAATCAAAAATTGTTCACAGAAACCTTACCAGGAGTATTCTCATCAACTTCCTAAACTTTCATGGCAATTGGGTGAAAGCTGTATTAATGCATTTAAAAAAATGAAAACAGACAAATCCACAGACACACTTTCATTTATATTTTCATTTAGATTTGTGTTTGAAATACTGTCTTAGTATTTAAGTTTAGCCAAACTGCATCAGTATCTTTTCCCTCCCCAGAAATCTGGCATGAAGGTCAAGGACTACATTGTGGCCATTGGTGAAGTTGATACAAAATGGGCAAAGCACGATGAAGTTGTAACTCTGGTTAGACATGCAAACCTTTCACTGACCCTGACCTTGGTGACCCCTGTACCCAAAACCGAAACTTTAACTCAGAGACCTTTTTCCACCATCAGTCTTCCAGCCTCACCCTTGAAGGTATTGTCAAGTTTATGGTACTGTTACAGTATGTACATGGATCGACTGAATTAGTTCACTCTTTGAGTCACCACACAAAGGCTGTGTTCCCCATAATTACTCTATATGCTTTGTTTCAGACTCAGCATCAGAATCACAATGCAGCAACAGAACGTGAAAGAAAAGCCCAGAGCAGGATTAGTGCCCCCTGGATGTTTGTGAGGAGAAACTCAAACAAAGAAAAAAATGGTGAGAGGCCAGCATCTATAGCTGTCCCTATGACAAATGGCAACACCAAGTCTGTCAGTAATGGTAACATGAAAACCATAGCAAATGGAGGAGATGTGGAATTATAGACGTCAAAAACTTCACTGACACTATCAGTAAGTTAAAGACTTGCTAAGAGCATTAAATTTAGAGCTGGCCAAAGGATGAAAGTTAATTGTTTAAAATAACCTGCTGAGTAATAATACTGAAAGTTGGTCACATCTTTCAAATTTCCAACAATCAGATGGTCATCTGAACTTAATTGTCTTTATCACTATTGTTTTAGATAGTCTTCATACTGTCTTGAGTATAACCTTCATCGATTGGGTCACATTTTTATTTTATATATTTATACCAGTCAAAACAAATACACCTGCATTTTGAGAAGCAAATCAAGAAAAATTATATAACTTTTGTAACCATTTGTTAATACTTTTTGTTCAGTTACTGTTTACAAGTAATTACTGTAAAGGGGAAAAGTAATACTATAAACAGGTAGTGTTATTATCTTCACAAATGTGTATTTATGACTGTTTTTACTAAAAAAAAACTGCACATCTGACATTTCCAATCAGTTAATCAATTTAAAAATAGATGTTTTTATGTGCAGGGTATAGCATTCCATGAGTTAACTGAGAGCTATGGTCTTGAGGTAGTCAGGTTGTGATTTTATGATTTAACATACATGCTAAACTTCATTTAGTTAACATTTTTCCGGTGAAGGTTTTTTATAATAAAAAGGTTAGTACATTCCTTGGTTGTGACCTCAAGTTGTTGGTCCAGTCTCAAGCATTGGTAGGAGAGACAGAAGTAAGAAGTTGAAAACAGGGCTTGATCTTTATTCTAGGCCTATAAACAACTTAGTCAATGTAATGGAGCAACCCTCCTGACCAAACTAGGGTTAACTTGTTGGTTTCCTTCACACCATCCCAGCTATACAGTCTTTAAAATGCACTCTTTTTTTATCCTCTGTAAATAATGATAAAATAAATTGTAAATTTATTTGTATGGCCCCATAGCCTCTATATTTATGGTTGTTTATATGCAAAGGTAACAATTTTTAAAGTTCAACAATTTTCATTCAAGCTATTATATAAAAACCTGTTCATATTTTTATAATAAAAAGTTGTGATGTTTTCTACATGTAAAATTACTACTTAAATGTTAATATTCTATATCAATATTATTTAGAATTATACCTAGTATTCACAAGGATTGTTAAGATGTGTACAATTCTACAATAAAAGCAGATTAAAATAAAAGCTATTCACAAAGTGGCAGTTTAAAAAAAAAATCTAAAGCACATGGCTTTCTACAGATGTACAGTGCTATCTAGGTAAAAGTAGTCTCCATCTTAATGGGGTAAATACATCCATTACATTTGAATGTTGTGAAGATTTACTTAGGAGATCAATGGGGATGAAGCCATGTTGTCCAGATATAACTCCAGGATTTGTCTGATTTACTGTACTACTAGCTACCTTACACAGATTGTATCAATATTCTTTTCTCCGGGATTAATGCTCATATTTTACCAATGATATTGCACACAAATAAGCATAGTATTTGTTTATGCTTGTAAAAAAAAAAAGAACTTTGTAACATTTTTAAATACTTGTCAATTTGAATTTTGTTTTTTAACCATAAAATTCGTGCCCAATACCATATAGGCTTCTTTTTTTTAATTAGTATATTTTTCTATTGATGAAAATCTGTAGACAAAAAATGTTCAAAACAAAAATGTAACAAGCAAACACAGAGTTGTGCACAAATGTGTTGATTCCCTTTGGTACAGCCACCATTTTACATGTCTGTACTGATCAGTTCAAACTACCTATGTATGTAGGTAAGATTTAGTTTATTAGTCATTTGTAATATCATTAACTATGCCTAAACCTTGAAATGTCCTGACAAGTTTTTAATGATTCTACTGTAACAATAATTAACCAATCCATTTTTACATGTCACTTGTAACTATCTCCAGAGTTCAGGTTTTAAAAATGTAACTTTCTTATGAAAATTGTGTCTAAAGGGATTATTTGACAATCAAAGTTTTAAATGAGTGTACGATGTAGACAGTGTAACACTACATGTAAGCTGTAGACAGTGTAACACTACATGTAAGCTAAAGACAGTGTAACACTACATGTAAGCTGTAGACAGTGTAACACTACATGTAAGCTAAAGACAGTGTAACACTACATGTAAGCTAAAGACAGTGTAACACTGCATGTAAGCTGTAGACAGTGTAACACTACATGTAAGCTAAAGACAGTGTAACACTACATGTAAGCTAAAGACAGTGTAACACTACATGTAAGCTAAAGACAGTGTAACACTACATGTAAGCTGTAGACAGTGTAACACTACATGTAAGCTGTAGACAGTGTAACACTACATGTAAGCTAAAGACAGTGTAACACTACATGTAAGCTAAAGACAGTGTAACACTACATGTAAGCTAAAGACAGTGTAACACTACATGTAAGCTGTAGACAGTGTAACACTACATGTAAGCTGTAGACAGTGTAACACTGCATGTAAGCTGTAGACAGTGTAACACTGCATGTAAGCTGTAGACAGTGTAACACTGCATGTAAGCTGTAGACAGTGTAACACTGCATGTAAGCTGTAGACAGTGTAACACTGCATGTAAGCTGTAGACAGTGTAACACTACATGTAAGCTAAAGACAGTGTAACACTGCATATATGCTATGGGAAAAAATCTATTTTGATTTATTGTATAATAATTATATTTAACTTATGTTTTAATATACACATATACAATGTGTTAAAAATGTTATGTGACAATGTTTTAAAAGATACAATACATTGTGTTTAAAATATTCTGTGACATTTTGAAATGAGCAACATATTAGAGAAAGAAAGTGCACTGAACATAATTTACTTTTACAAAATGATTTTTTTTTCAAATGTTTGTTTCCATTTTTGTGAAGTTAAAATTTCTAGTCAAAAGTATTTGAATAGGTTAAATACTCATGGGAGCAGACTGAGCTAACGTACTGCACACTCTAATCTGTTGCTAGCACCTGTACATGTTGTATGTATTAGCCAGTACAGAGAGCTAACGTACTGCACACTCTAATCTGTTGCTAGCACCTGTACATGTTGTATGTATCAGCCAGTACAGACATAAAGTCCACTACACTTACATGTATCAGTCACCACCACTACACTTAGATGTATCAGTCAGTACCACTACACTTACATGTATCAGCCAGTACCACTACACTTAGATGTATCAGTCAGGACCACTACACTTAGATGTATCAGTCACCACCACTACACTTAGATGTATCAGTCACCACCACTACACTTAGATGTATCAGCCAGTACCACTACACTTAGATGTATCAGTCACCACCACTACACTTAGATGTATCAGTCACCACCACTACACTTACATGTATCAGTCACCACCACTTCACTTACATGTATCAGTCAGGACCACTACACTTACATGTATCAGTCACCACCACTACACTTAGATGTATCAGTCACCACCACTACACTTACATGTATCAGTCACCACCACTTCACTTACATGTATCAGTCAGGACCACTACACTTACATGTATCAGTCACCACCACTACACTTAGATGTATCAGCCAGTACCACTACACTTACATGTATCAGTCACCACCACTTCACTTACATGTATCAGTCACCACCACTACACTTAGATGTATCAGTCACCACCACTACACTTAGATGTATCAGTCACCACCACTACACTTAGATGTATCAGTCACCACCACTACACTTAGATGTATCAGTCACCACCACTACACTTAGATGTATCAGTCACCACCACTACACTTAGATGTATCAGTCACCACCACTACACTTAGATGTATCAGTCACCACCACTACACTTAGATGTATCAGTCAGGACCACTACACTTAGATGTATCAGCCACCACCACTACACTTAGATGTATCAGCCAGCACCACTACACTTAGATGTATCAGCCAGCACCACTACACTCAGCCAGCACTTAAATTAAAATGAAGTAACCAGATGGTAGTGTGAGTTCAAATAAAACCAACATCGTTAGCTTCAGAGCAGTAATTTGTTAGTTTTTAATTTTATAATATTTACCTCAGAAACAGATAAAATTTCATCATGTGTATGAAATAAATTATACTTTAAATTTTAAATAATTTCTTCAATTAGAACCAAGAAATATTGTCATTAAGAACATGTGCACTTCTTAAATCAAATGTATATTACAGTAAGGAAACATAAGCTGTTCTCCATTCCCTCTAGGTATGTTTCTCTTTCTCTTTTCATCCATTGTTTATTTTGTTATCTAAAATGATCACCCATGTTCAGCAGTAAGAGGGTTTCAACTTAACATAAAGCTTACATTGGTGTTTTACTTTTACATAAGACATCATGTGATCAGTTATTAACTTTAAGCTCTTTTTTATGTTTCACATTTATAACCCATATTGGCAGTTCAGTTTTGTTTGCAAACATTTATATCTGTACATAATCATGTTATAAAGTATCTTCCAACTGCAAACATAACCCAAGATATTTAAACCATTGAATTTGTTGTAATTTATAAGATGTAACATTGTATGACTCCAGAACAAAATCAAGCTACATGTTAGCTACTGGCATGGGATTAGAACTAAAATTGTAGAACATTCCTTTTTTGTAGATTAAATACATCACTGCTATCAGTCTAGGAAATACTTTACACTAAGTGGGCTAATTCAGTTTTGTGTTGCTAAAATTTGTTTTTAGTATGTACTTACTATAATTTTGAATTGAATTGTAACTTAAAAGGCACACCTCTAGGCTTACATATTTCATGTAACACTTTTGAGCCTCATTTAGTGTCATTGGTTGTATGGTAGGTCATTGTGTTTGATTGTATGGCCTGCCAGCATATATGGTAGGTCATTGTGTTTGATTGCATGCCCTGTCAGCATATATGGTAGGTCATTGTGTTTGATTGTATGGCTTGCCAACATATATGGTAGGTCATTGTGTTTGATTGTATGACCTGCCAGCATATATGGTAGGTCATTGTGTTTGTATGGCCTGCCAGCATATATGGTAGGTCATTGTGTTTGATTGTATGGCCTGCCAGCATATATGGTAGGTCATTGTGTTTGTATGGCCTGCCAGCATATATGGTAGGTCATTGTGTTTGATTGTATGGCCTGCCAGCATATATGGTAGGTCATTGTGTTTGTATGGCCTGCCAGCATATATGGTAGGTCATTGTGTTTGATTGTATGGCCTGCCAGCATATATGGTAGGTCATTGTGTTTGATTGTATGACCTGCCGGATGTGTAGCTTCAGACAGTTTAGTCACAGTTACTAGTACAGAAATGTTCATTGCATACTTTGTGTAAATATAAAAACAGTATTGTTGTTTTTCTAGGTATTCATAAGCTGTGTCATAATATTTACCCAATGAACCTGATTGGTTTTGTTGATAAATGCATTTATATTATCATCCTATTTATATGAAACTTTTGTACTGAAGCATTTGAATCATGTCAATACAAGTAAATCACTATGTTTAGAAGGTAATCAACATTCTTCCCTTTTAAAGCAATGTGGTCAGACCATGAGTGCTGGTCAGTTTGTTCATGGTCACTTTTCATCTATCTAATGTTATGGCTTGAAAGATTGATTAAAGTTAGCACACTATAGAAGCAAGTCTTATACAAGACATGAAAACAAATACTGCACTACACCTGTGTTCAAGTAGACTTCTTGGGTGAGCCACTCTAGTTGTAGGCCCCACCCCTACAACAACGTGTTTGTGTCACGGGTTCCGTTTGAGATCTGTTGATCAATGTTTACCAATGTAGAAATGTCAAGCAGCATTATGCATGTGTATACACTGTGTAATCATCATATGGTTTATCTTCACCTAATTTATTATTTTTTTATTGTTGAAAATAAACTGTTGGTTATCACAGAAATCGTTTGTTGAGTTTTATTGAAATTGTCCGTCTTTAACATCGGTCACTATTTTCGTCAGTAGAATTACACTTTTAAAGCAGTTCCTATGTTTTACTTTTCAACCAAAAACTTTGGCATACAAGGACAGCAACTCTGGTTGCCCGTCTAATGTCCCTGTATTTGTGATACCAACACGTACAGACCAGGTGCCCAGCACAAGTCCTAATTAATTAGAGGCTCGTGTAGTACTATCGTCGGCAGTGATTGATAAGCTAGCCATGTGCTTTCTCCTATGATGACCGTCCTGTTTTATTTACTATGTGGGCGGTTTGTGTTTAATTAGCCTGGATATCATTTACTGACCTTATATCTTAAATGTAAACCTTGACCCCATGTGACCTTTTGTGTAGGCGACCTCTAACAGCACATATCTATACAGGTACCTGTGGTCTATCGATCAATCCAAATACAGCACGCTATAATAGAGGTACCTGTGATATATCGATCAATCCAAAACCACGTGAACGATCGATAACGTTCAGGATATCTACCTTCCCTATAATAATAAAAGAATCGTTCGAATATCGATCTAGGTGTTTGTAATTACATCACCAGTTGCGTGTTTGTATAAGTGTAGACAATATTCGAGCACGCCTTTTACTTAACGTCACCACCATCAGCTGTATACAGTGACGGAACTGGTCAATGAGCTGGTCATTTAATGACGTGGCTGTCCTAGAGTCAGGACAAGGGGGATGTAATTCTACAGCCCAAATACAGAAACCTGACAGGCTTATCTACCTTTGTCATGACACGAAGTTGTTTGAAGGTTAGTTAACCTTTGATATAATAAGCTGCCATGCCAGTGATGAATGTTATGTGATATACTGCCATCTTAGTGTTGTAATATGTTATGTGATTTACTGCCATCTTAGTGTTGTAATATGTTATGTGATATACTGCCATCTTAGTGTTGTAATATGTTATGTGAATTACTGCCATCTAAGTGTTGTAATACGTTGTGTGAATTGCTGCCATCTAAGTGTTGTAATTTGTTATGTGATATACTGCCATCTTAGTGTTGTAATATGCTATCTGAATTGCTGCCATCTAAGTGTTGTAATTTGTTATGTGATTTACTGCCATCTTAGTGTTGTAATATGTTATGTGATATACTGCCATCTTAGTGTTGTAACATGTTATGTCATGTACTGCCATCTTAGTGTTGTAATATGTTATGTCATGTACTGCCATTCAACAAAGAGTGACTATATCTAGACTGTAGCATAATAAAACACATTTCCACAAAATATGACAAAATTAAAGTGCATTAGTATAATTATTTTGCGCATTTTCCGTTGCGCAGTTTTCTGATTGCGCATTTTTCTGTGAGTAGATCTAGCTCCCAATCAAAGTAAAAAAAAAAAACAATTTCCAACTTCACCGCATTTGCAAATTTTAAAACATTTTTCTTTTAAAAAATGCATCTATGTACACACATTTTTTTTCATCTTAGTTTAAAATAGTAAAATGTCAGGCTAATCTGGAGAAGAAAAGTAGGCTACATGAATTATTGAATACATTTGGATTCATGTCAACGGTCGGATTCCTCTAGAGACTTACGCCATACCAATAGATAAATATTTATTTAGATAGTTTTGTTTTAATTTTATAATGTGGTGTTCATCATTTTGCTTTAGCAACCTCATATTGGTTATGGAAATTGCCAGTCTAATTTTAATACCTTTAGATCTAGGTCAATACAGCCTATGGAGAAAAAAGAAAGCATGAAAGAAGTTGAGTTTGTCGACTACACACGCCCTCTACCGGTGGTGCCGGAAAAAGTTTTGTTCAACTTGTGGGAAAATTCAAATACACAAACAGAAGTCAAGTGGGCTAAACCCGAAAACTCTAGAAATTTTAACTCTATTTCTTACCAAGTCCAGATGAAAGAAGGAGACGGTGACTGGCAGATTCTCAATGAAGTGCGTGTACCGCTGTACCGTGTGTACTTTGCTGAAGGGAAAGCTATATTTAACCGGATGAAAATATGCCAGCAAAGCTCAACAATTGTTGTGCAGCTAAGAATTCGACCAGTCGGTGTTGTGTACAAAAACGGTAGAGAAGAGAAAAAATACGGACCGTTTAGTGAAAATATTGTGTTTTCTATTGAAGGTTCGGCGTTAGCTAACGAGTAATAGTTCTAGAATTACATGACAAAGTACCATATAGACTAGTTCTATTTGAAAAGCCGACGCTGACATTTTTAACCATACCAGTCAGTATTTTACATGTTGTAGCCTATTCAGTAATGAAGCACATAATCTACGCGTAATGTTATGAATCACATAACTTATCATGCACGGTGGTAAAAAGTAGACAAGGCCTATGTTCTAACTAATTTATTTAACAACGAAAAATGCCTTGCTAAATATTTGTGTCAATTTAATAAGTCTAACTTATAAGGCTTATTTAGTTAATAGCTTACTATTCTGGAAAGTTCTTTAGCTATTCACTGTTCTGAAAATACTGAAAGAGACTAAGAATTTATTTTTGCCGTGTTTCGATAATGCTTTCAAACTTGAATTAGTTTAACAAAACATCGGGTCAAAGGTATTTGTTCATGTGACATTTTTATTCACAAACGTATTCATAATCATATCTCTATTGAACAGTTCGATTTGAACTTCTTGGTGTTCTATCGATTTTTGCGCTGTCGGATGTTACCAGCGAGATATGGTGGAATGTGGTGAAGCGAGCAACTAAGTCCTCGACCTTTACAGCAATTCTGTTATCAACTGATCGCTGGTCATGTTTTGGTTCTATTCCAACCCCATAGCCAGTTGAAACTTACAGCATTTTATGATGCTTGATAAAGTGAACAGGTAGACAAGCGTAGGATATCTAATAGTTGTGTGATTTACTGGGAGCGGCTACCAACAGTTGTGTGAATGTTGAACAAGCTCGCGAGATCTCACGTTGCTGTGTCTCCACAGACATTTATTGGCACTAACATTCGTGCCACAAGATATTGAGGGACCAGTTGCTGACAGTCTAGAGACTAATCTACAAGACATTCGTGCCACAAGATATTGACGGACCACTTGCTGACGTCAAAGGTCCGTTCGCTAGAACTGAATAAAGACGGTCTCTTCAAGGTAAATCAGCTTTATGTGTCTAGTTTTTTTCTTACATTAATCTTAATTATTATAACAATTGTTTTTCCCCCGTATATTACAGTTTTAAATTCATTAGCAGCTGTTACTCACACTTTTATTTCATACTTTTTAGTGTGTTAATTGTTTGATTTAGAACCCATTACTTTATGATGTAGGTCGTGTTGTGAGCATCACCCTGTCCACGTGACACGTTCACTACAGTGAAGGGAGACCTGAGACCTGTGGGCGGGGCTATCATGCAAGCAAAGCAGACGCGGTACCGACACTTTAGATCATCCGTTGGGACCTTACTCAACGAAAACTACGGGGCCGTAACCAACAAGAAAAGGCCACCTGTTATACTTTCTACTGCCCCAGCTAGTCCTAACGTCCCTTTATCACCCAAAACACCAGAGATTTTTGCCGCCCAAAGATCGCGCCCTGGGTTAGTGGTTTACGGAACTACGGCTGTGTCTGGCATATCAGACCGGCAGAGTCCACAGACGTGTGCTGGCCATGACGAGCTTGACGGTACACACTGCAACAGCGAGGACACCCGGGCGTCACTAACCCCAACATCTTCTGGCACCCCTGTGGGCTCGCAGACCAGAAAATACGATCGACCGTGCTCGCAAACAACTTCATTCAGTAGATCCACACAGGGCCCTGCTTCAAGGTATGCACAAATAAACGGCTCAAACACGAGCTCCCGCCCACAGACGAACTCTTCTGTAGCATGCCGGACATCGACGAACTCTTCTGTAGCATGCCGGACATCGACGAACTCTTCTGTAGCATGCCGGACATCGACGAACTCTTCTGTAGCATGCCGGACATCGACGAACTCTTCTGTAGCATGCCGGACATCGACTTGCACGCCAAAATCTGAGCGCAGTTTGCCGCTCTCCTCCACTCGTGTACACACACCGTTGGGAATTCCCGAAGATCAAATTAACTTGGAGGTACCGAGGTACTATGACGCATACAAACACATGTTTGATTTAACATCAAAACACGGAAGCAGTCGATTAGATGACGTCATTGTCGAGCAGGACAGCAAAAATCTAGACGCCATCCCAGATAGAAGCGACATCACTTGGCCAAGGATCATTCGAAAAAATCAGGAAGAAAATGTGCTTAAAAGATGTTCAACGTCTCGCAGCTCTAGAGTATCGTCTGCCAGGAGTCACGTGTTCTCTAATGATATTTTCACACCAAGTCCAAGGCCAACTGGACTTTCGGCAAATATGACTCCCGCCGGATTTATAAGGTCCAAGTCTGCAACAAGCTCAGCCTCGAGTCAACGCGTGTCATCGGGTTCAAGGTCGTCGTGTGGTCAGCGGGACAACGGTGCAAACAGCGCTAAAACGTCGCGATCGTCTGCTGGCTATGACGACACAGTCTCGCGTCTGTTGCTTGAGGTGAAGATGCAGCAGCCAGGGGAGTGGTACACGGGACACACCCCCACACACACACCCACCCCCGACTCGTCCCTGCCGTACTACCAATCTAGATCCTGGCTGAAACATTACTCGCCGACAAAAATCAGACACTTCTTTCGTGCCGCAGGAGGCAGCATGTTTAGTGGATCCATTTCATGAAGACTTTGTGTACACTGTAAACATGTTAAAATAATCATTGAGGCTAGATCAGTAACTACATAGAGGCCTTAATGAAGAGTTAAATGTTGCTTAACAAAAGATATATTTAGGAAAAGATTACTAATTCATAATTTATATGATTCTTATTTTGATCAAATATAAATGAATTAAATAAATACTGATATGTAATAATTAAAATATAATTATTTAAACATTTCTCTATGTAAAAAGTCACTGTTAGAATGGTTAGACTTTTGTTAGTAGTTTCAACTAGTCATCTTATATATTATGTATTGATAAAAATAAAACTTTCAGTAATTTAAACCAAGATTTTTAAAAATTTGTTTATCATAGATCTAATTTAATTTCCTTGTTGAAGTATTTGACGTAATTTTTTCAACATACAGGCATAAAAATTGCCTTAATAAAACACAAATCCACAGCAGTCCAGCAGAACATTGTTTTATTTTATCAGTGGCATAAAATATATGAATACATTCTTGAACATTTAGAAACATGCCGCTCCATATGAAAACAATCTTCAATGTTTAAAACATAAAATTCTGGGTGAATACATGACCAAGCATTGGCAGCACATGACAACTGGAGTGCCACCATGTTTCCTTCCTTTTTTAAACATTTTTTTCAGACATTAAACAATTACAAACTCACAAACCAAACAATACAAGCAAAGGGATTTGTTGATTTCAACATTCTAAATAGTTTATTAAAATGTGAAACTGATGTAAAAAATAAATACTTCTTACAATGATATACTGCTCATGCATTACTGCCAGCAACTCAAATATTACATTTTTAACTTCAATTTAAAAGTGTGTCTGGACAACTTATTAGTAATAAGCTTATAATATTAATAATCACAAATTACATTTTCTTTGTCTGACCTAGGAGAAAATTGAAGTTGCCAGATGAACTAAGAATCTTACATCCACTTGAATAATCTATCCATCTAATAGGACAGCTCCATCCTTCCCCCACCCCCTCACCACAAACATACTTTAGTAATTGCTCCCAGATGAGTTAAAACTTAAAATAACTACTTCGTTATCAATCACATCAATATGACATTTTTAAACAATATACCAGCCATTCACCTCAAAATGACATTTTTAAACAATATACCAGCCATTCACCTCAAAATGACATTTTTAAACAATATACCAGCCATTCACCTCAAAATGACATTTTTAAACAATATACCAGCCATTCACCTCAAAATGACATTTTTAAACAATATACCAGCCACTCACCTCAAAATGACATTTTTAATCAATATACCATACAGTCATGCAACTTACAGTCAAGTTTTAATAAAATATATTATATGAATTTCATTAAATAAATAATTGCATATTGGCTAAATAATAAAAAAACATAATGTTAAAGTACTTTGATCCACATAATTTTTTTTTAAATGTATACAACCACAAAAGTCATCATTGCAGAGTCTGTACATCAAACTATCACAACACTGGCTGCTAATGCAAACAGAACAAAATCAGTTGTTCACATGAATTTCAGAGGTTGAGAAAATATCCCAATGCTACAACTCTCTAAATTTTAAGTAATGTGAAAAGATTTATATCAGAATAGCCTGAAGTCACATTCAACTGTAGTGGCTTTCATTAGCCAGTTTAACATTGGTAAGTACATGGAAATGGAAGCAGACATGAACAATTGCTATCCCATCAGAGTGAGCATGAATAGCTCACCACTAGTTGCAATGTGCTTAGTGGATACTTGAAAAACTAACTGCTATTGTCACATTATTTTTTTTTAATCTGACCACTTTGGAATAAATGATGATGTGAAAAAACAAAAATAAAAAAAATATTTTTAATTTCATACCAGTCAAAAAAGATAAGCTTGATCAAACAAACATTCAAGCAACAACCTTGCTATGGCATAAAACAATAGTCTTACAGTCTGTTTACATTTTAAATTATTTTATAAAGTTTCTCAAAAATGGTTCCAATGGAATGATATTTTGTTTTTTTAAAACCTAATTGACACAATCTTTGGAGCAAGCTGAGAGATGTCCCCTATCAGAACAGTTCACTACTAGCATAGTCAGCTGGACTTGAAAGGTTAAGGTTACATCTACTGCCCAAAACAGAATTTAACTAGACAAAAGCAGATTGATGCCTATCCTCAAATACACACACCATGTCTAATAGCAGCATTGATGCAGACAGAATGGTTTTTTCAGGCACTTTGATAACATGACAAAAATAGAGGAAAATATGCCAGACAGAACATCTAACACAGCAGAAGACTGAATATTTAAATATGATGTAACAGATACAAATTAGTTTTTTTTATTTTTTGGACTTAATTAGTATTATCTTCACAAAACATTTTATGAATAAAAACTTGTATATAATGAAAGTAATATAACTCTAGCTAAATTAATTTAAAAAGAATTAAAATACCAACATGTTTTAAAATGCTCATTACTAAACAAAAGTTTTGATATGCTGGCATGTACTTGACTTAGAGTTTCCTGGTGTACTAGTTATACAGTTAATTTTTTATTAAAAAAGTAACACAAACAGGGTTAATTAAAACAACTTTGCATTAACATTGCAACAAATGATTTATTTAATTACTCTGCTAAAAAATGTATTTGACCAAGGTATTTATTTATTAAATTCAAATTACAAAAAGATATATTACATTTTGCTACAGCAAGTCGCAACACTATATTAAATGTATGTATATATATATATATATATATATATATATATATATATATATATATATATATATATATATATATATATATATATATATATATATATATATATATATATATGTATATATAAATAAATATATATATTTATATACATATATATATATATATACATACATATATATATATATATATATATATATATAGAGTACATTTACATTTGACAGTTCAAAAGACATTTTGACAAGATAATATTTAAAAACACGTTACACTTCAGCTTAAACATCAAAGAAAAAAATCAGTAATTAAATAGAATTTGCATTTTTAGTAAGAAATTTGAGATGTCTGCAGCACTAATTCAAGTGTGAAGAAAATCTTGTTTGTCCTATCAGGGCTGACCTGGTACCTGGATTATGATACACCAGCTTGGATGCAGCGGTTACAACAGTAGAGCCAAACACCAATCAGCTGCCAGATTTTTTTGTTTGATCTGCCAAAGATGATTACCTGAAAGAGCCTTCCTTGGCTGCAGACAAGATGTCTGCTGGGTCAGACAGAGTAATACATTTTCTCTGATGTTAAAAATCGAGGTGTAGAAAATGGAGAAAACCACTGGATTGAAAAAGGATGTCCAAAAACACCCTTCATACTCAGCCAGCGAGATCTTCTTTCCCGCTCCTCTTTCTTTAGTTGCTCAATGCCCTAGGAAAATTTTCAACAATAAATACACAGCTGTCATTGTGATCTATCATATTTCTACATGAGATAGACAGCTGTTTATCAATTGCGTTTTTAAAGTGGGTCACAATAATTTCAAAATGTTGGATTATGTCCCCTACTGTGGGACAGAAAAAAAATAAAACTATTGGGTTCTACCGCTGAGTGTCTGTAAATTTTGGGTGCTGTTTCTACAGTAGGTTATGCAATATCAAAATTTCCCTCCAGTGAATCAGAAACGTGAGTCTTTAACTTTATAAAACTGATAAAAAACATGGTAAAAATCCATTTGGCTTACAGTTTCATCAGAGCAGACAGCAGACATCTGGGTCCCAAACATGATGCCAGTGAAAATACCAAACAGCATCCCCTCAAATATCAGGAAGATGAGAAAAATGGTAGTGGCTGGAGGGGACATGCCAGAACAGGCTAAAGAAGGATTTACAGAACAGGGTTAAGGCTTCAGTAGGAAACCATGCACTCTCTGTCTTTAAACATTACATCAAGCATCCCAGCTAGATCATATACAGCCAGGGGTCATCCATAAATGACATCATGCTTTTTTTGATGATTTTTACCTCCCCCTCCCCTCTGTCACACATCGTCACAAAAAGCCAGACCCCCCCTAAAATGACGGCACACCTCAGACTACAACCTCCCTCAAAATTGTAGTTGAATTTTTCTTAAAACATCTATATTTTTCCAAAATCTTTTCGGAACTCTTGTCAAAATTGAGTATTTTAATCAATTCCTATTGCAATTTATTAAAACAGTTTTCTAAAACGCAAAATATTCTTTTATAATGCAAAAGTGTGACGTCGCACCATCTGAACCTCCCCTACCCCTCGTCACACACCGTCACAAAATTACGGACCCCCCTCCCCCTGTGAGTGTGACATCATTTATGGACGACCCCCAGACAAAGAACTAGTGACAACTTTATATTTACCTTTCCAATCTCGACTAACACAGTAGATAAAATGGGAGATGGACATGTACAAGGCATGAATGGAAATCAGACATATATACATCTGAAAATAATGGAGCAACTTATATAGAGAAACACTACACATATACATAAAGTAAGTAGAGCCTTTATTTATTGCAGCATTAATTCATTATATACATTTTACAAATTTATTTTATGTGCTCAACTATTTATAAAACAAGCATAAAAATTAATTGACTTTGGTGTCATTTGATTCTAGTGTCATTTGATTCTAGTGTCATTTGATTCTAGTGTACTTACTGTAAATAAAACAAAATATTTCTGGTTGTTTTCACCAACACAGTTGTTGACCCATGGGCAGTGATGGTCCATTTTTTTAATACAGCGCTGGCAGACACTAGAATATTTAGAAAGGTATTTTAAAATAGCACTTTTGATCTGTTCCTTCATTTCATGACTAAAAAAGTAAATAATTCTTTCAAACTTACTTCAAACATACCAACTCAATAACAACTTGCAATACTAAAAGTAAATAATTCTTTCAACCTTACTTCCAACACACCAACTCAATAACAACTTGCAATACAAAATTACATACTTAAAAAAGATGAAAAGGTAATTCTGTTATCTCAACTAAAATTCTGTTTGATTTACCTGCAATGGTGAGCACGATCTGGCTTTATGCTGATACATTTAGGACACTTGAAAACAACTTCACCTTTTTTTAAACCCAAACTTTTGATACCTTCTGTAGTTGCATTCCCTTTTGGTACGGCTCCCTTTAGGGAAAATATTGTTAGCTTTTATAACTTAATTACAAGAGACATCATGGAAAAAAAAATAGAAGCAATATTTCAAAATGTTCAATCATGTAGTGTATCAATAATTTTAAAACTAGAAGAATTAATTAAAGAGATGTGTAAAATTACACAATTATTGTAAACATAAAGAACAGAGTGTATAATAAAATGTTTGAGTATGTGTCTTGTTTAATCCCTTGAAAATTGCGGTAATGAAGTTGAAGAAATGGGTCTGCATAATAAACCATTGTGATGAAATACATGTGAGTATTACCGGGTCAGTAAACATTGCTCTCAAGTGGGAGGAAACAGCCAGAAATGCTAGTCCATTAAAGATAAGGCCATGGAATAAACTGTAGATGTTTGAAGATTCATGAAGCAGCATCACAAACATAACAACATATTCAGCATACAAGATAAGCAGCCATGTGAACACAGCGCACACAATGCCACAAATGTCCTTGACAAACCAAACATGACGCAATGATGGGTTAGAATATCCAAAAAGCCTAAATAATTTACTAAAATCTAAAAAAACCACTGTTTCCGAATATTGTTTTTCAGATTGTTTTTTTTTCTTATAAGGAGATTTTCCTTTATACACTGGTCTTGTAGTTGCAATTTCCTCAAGCTCTCTGAAAATATACGGAATACTTTTATAGCTTTAGAAACAAATAACATTATTCAAGTCAAATGCCAAAAGTTTCATATGTAAAAAAAATCAGTATTGTAGTTGCATTGTACGGTAATATTAGATTAAATAATACATTTGATGCAATTTTAAATAACTTACTCATAGTTCAGACTGATAAATTATAATACAATGACTTTGTTTATATTACTGAGTTAATAATATGCAACAAGACACCAGTTGATGGAGGCTTGGCTAGGGATTCAAACTCAAAGCATAAATTTGAAAAATTAACATACATCATTTCTAAATGATTTGTTGTGACTAATATTAAAAAGAGACTCAGTTGAGTAATCAAACTTATTCAAAAGTGTCACCAAATTAGCACTGATTAAAAATATAATTGTTTTTGTAGGAAAATTTATAAGTGAAAGGCTTACAATCTATATATTTTTTAAGAGAAAGAAAGGACTAGCATACTCTATAAATGGAAATAAAAACAATTAATTGAAATAAAATTCTGAAAATGAAAACAAGAATTTGACTCAATTAATTAATCACATGCTCTCCAAGGTCAATATCAATCATCATCCACTAAATATTTACACAGTGATTCTGGTATTTTGAAATTACCAGGATCGTTATCTTAAAATATGTATTGAATAATAATACTATTGAGAATACTTTAAATACTTAATATAACTTGCTAATAAACTCAAATAAAAGTGGTAATAATACCAATGTTTATTATTTTAAAACAATAAACTACATACTAACTAGCGTACTTATCCCATACAGTATTGAGGTCTCAGAAGGAAGGCTGACCAATATTTTAAGGCTGCGGCTATTCATACTTTACTACAAATAGCCCTATGAAGGCTATTCGTATATTCGTACTCTGACCAATCAGCGTGAGGCATTTTTTCTGTGATTCTTGAATTCCCTTTTTCATGCTGTATAGATCTAGAACTAATTATTTTTTAGATCTAACCTTATCACTAACCCTAACCCTAATGCTTAACCCTAATCCTTAAATAAAATTTTTTAAAAAGCAAAATAGAAAAAAAAACCTCTGGGCCAAAGGGAATAGAACCCACGCCTCGAAAACAAACTAGTCAATGCGCAACCACTTCAACCACCGGGACACTTACAACGACATTCAAAATTAGAACGTCATACACAAGCTAATAAAAATAATTATGCACACATGTGCAGGACAATGAATTTAAAAATAAATTTGATTGGTCAGCTAAAAATAGCGAATATGAATACCCTTCTGAGGGCTATTTGTAGTAGAGTACCACCTTTATTTTAATTTTAAGACGATTTCATCAATGCCTTTTAATTTTTAATCATGAAGCGGCAAATAAATATACACTAAAATGGAGTTTTACTAACTTACTACTTACTAGGTCAACTATATTACTATATTATACTATAATAATATTACTTATTAAGAAATAAGTACTAAAGTTACTTTAGCAAAGTAGGCCTATTGATATTTAGTATTTAGTAAGTATTTAGTATTTAAAAAGTTTTAAAAAGTCATTAGCCTACTGCTGCAAGAACTTTGTAGAAGTTAAGTAGGGGTCTAAAAGTCTAAATGAAAAGTATTAAAACTGAGATAAGTGAAATGTCACAAATGACAAATCAAATAATTAGGCCCTAATATAAATAACAAAATAGTGAAATCATGAAATGAATCATCCATTGTGAAGATTCGCGAATCGTGATCATTTAATTTTATTTTCTTCGAATGTCGTGAAAGTGAAACAAACCTTGGTAAATTTCCGCCAACATCGGAATCAGTGGGACTGTCCATTTCCTTTAGGGGTAGATCTAGATCTATAAAATATTGTGTTTATGCTGTACTGAAGTTTAAGGTATCTTGACCAATAAATATTAAATAAGCAACCAATTTATTGTTTTCCCCTTAGATACCAATACTGAGGAAGTTTACTGTATTGGTCGGCCATGATTTCTCATTTCTCGTGACGTTTAGCACCAATAATTTGGAATAAGAAAGAATAGCCTCCCTTTTCAATTTTGTACCATAATTTACAGGAGCATAATAATAAAATATAATAAAAACCAGTGCTTTCTAAACTGTCTAAACTGAGAATGATTGTAAGAGCTAATTTAACTTTTTAAGTAGCTAATGCATTCAGTGTGTGATATCATTATAGATATATATAATTTATAATTATAAGCCTATCAGAGGCATACACAAGGGGGAGCAGGGAGAACGGTCGCTTACCCCATGACCATGTTGAGGATAGTGGCGCCTTCATCATCATCATTCCTTTGTGGCTCCTGGGGAGCAAAGGGCTGCAACCACACATCTCCAGCGGACTCGGTTTTGGGCTGCCACCTTTATCTGTGCCCATGAGAGCCCAGCTGTTTTTGCCTCATATTCAACCGTTCTTCTCCATGTCTTCCTTGGCCGGCCCACACTCCTTTTTCCCTGGGGATTCCATTCCAAAGCATGTTTTGCCATGTTTTCTTTTTCTTTTCTTAATGTGTGTCCGATCCATCCCCTTTTACGGGCCTTGATATCTGTCTCTATTGGCTGTTGCTTTAAAGTTCGCAACAGGTCTTTGTTTGATATTTTGTCTGGCCATCTTATTTTAAGTATATGTAGTGGGGCCTTGTCGGAGATAAATTCAAATAAAATTTAAAAGTTCCTGCTACAAAAAATATATCCACATCTTACAGGAACGACGAATTTGAAATCAGTTTCGTTTATGCAGAGGCGTAGCGAGGGCGGGGGTTGCGGGTCGCACCGGGTGACACCATTTAGGGGATGACACCAAGGCAAAAAATTGCCAAATTTTCAGACGAAAAATGCTTTTGTGCCTATCCCATTAATAATTGTAAGTACAAATGTAGTAATTATATGTGTATGTATAAATAAATTTAAAAAAAAAAATATATATATATAAATATATATAGGCATATATATATATATATATATATATATATATATATATATATATATATATATATATATATATATATATATTGATATATTGTTTCTTGGGAGGGGGTGACACCACGAAGTGCCGCACCGGGTGACACCACTGCTTTCATGCATTTGTTCGCCCCCCCCCCCCCCACCTCCAAAGAACTTTCATTATGCCACCCCCCCCCCCCTTGAAATGACGTCACAGCTCAGCCCACTTCTACTTCAAAATCGCAATATTTTTTTAAAAACAACTATTTCTTTCGAAAACGGCCAACCTAAGTTTCTAACCTTACTTTTTAAAACGCAAAAGTGTGTCGTCGATACTTTATGAACCTCCTCTCTCCCCTCATCACACTTTGTTACTAAAGTCCGAACCCCCCTCTCCCATAATGTGGTGACGTCATGATGTAACTAATTTTGTTTTCTCTAGCCCATAATGATATCAGTCAGTTAACATTTTTAGCAACCACTGTTAGAAAAATTGGTCTCCAGACCAAGATGTTGGTCATATTTTTGTCTAGTTCATGATGTTGGCCAAATCTTTAGCTCATGATGTTGGCCAAATCTTTAGCTCATGATGTTGGCCGAATCTTTAGTTCACTTTCGCTCATGATGTTGGCCAAATTTAGCTCATGATGTTGGCCAAATATTTAGCTCATTATGCTGGCCAAATCTTTAACTTATTGTGTTTTAGGAACTGAACTATGACCGGAGGGAGCAGCGAGTACGCAGGGAGATAACTCCGATAAGTACGAGAACTGATACTGCACTAATTAGTCGTGCCCCTATTATATAGTAAACCCACACTTACACTGTACTATTTTTTTCAAAAGAAGGTGAGTGGACAAACTTTCTTTTATAAGCGAAGCTTGTGGTGTTTTTCGTTTGTTTTTTCTATTTTTTTTGGGATGAACACATAAATGATTATAGTAAGATGATTTTTTTTTAAATCTCACATTTCATCATATGCCTTAGACGCTATAACATATAAATTAAATAAATGTGTTGCCACAGAAAAAAAGATAGACACAACAAAGAACATTAATTCTTTATTATATATACTAAACTTAGCATTAGCGGATGTATTAATTACTACATTTACTTATTTACTTATTAATCGTCGTGCTTTCAAATTTCATAGTCTAATTAATTTTTAATTCATACATATATATATATATATATATATATATATATATATATATATATATATATATATATATATATATATATATATATATATATAAGAGTTATAAGTATTTAAAAACTACGTGTTGGGGTTTTCCCATAAGTTATGTTTCCCATACGTATGGTTGGCCGAAGTCCGAAGTAGACCAATGCAAACACTGGCCATCCAATGCGCGCATTGGCCAATATCATTACCCATTAACCGGCCAAAATCCGAAATATTTCTTTGACTTCGGAGTTTGGCCGGCCAGTCAGCTGACTGGCTAGTGACGACCGGCCAAAGTCAATACAAGCACAGTACTTGTCTCTGGTTTTCCTTGCAGTAAAAGATTCAAATGATCCGAGAAAATAGTTTTAATACCGAAGTTGGTTCTAGATTGTCTGTGCGCCAACCTTGCGCCGTGTACTAAATCTACACCATTCCAAAATTAATCGAGTCCAGTCTATATGTCCCTCCCCCACAAACACACACATAGTCACATACACACACTCATGCATACACAACATACACACACGCATGCACACACTCACAAGAATACACACTCACATATTCTTGGAATCGGCATACGGGTACTGTCAAAGAGGGGATTTGTGAATGTTTGTGTCGTGATAATATATAGTATGAAAGGGGAACAGGTCTTTGAAAATTTTATATAATATTTTGAGGTTGGATTAAAGATTACATAGTTTGTGTTTTATAATTTGTTCACAAATTTCACTCTTTGCGGCAATGTTACCAAAAAAAATTCCCACTTTTAGGAAACTGAAGTCTGCCTCTTGGCCTGAAGGTCGGTATATATATATATATATATATATATATATATATATATATATATATATATATATATATATATATATATATATATATATATATATATATATATATATATATATATATATATATATAGTTGTATATATATATATATATATATTTATATATACTAGCTGTATGTCATTGCTTCGATATGAAGTAAAATAAATTGAAAGTAGTGCTCTGAAGAAATAAGAAAAATGTTGGCCGACAAAACAAAACAATTTATCACTCTAAACAAAAAATGTATATATATATATATATATATATATATATATATATATATATATATATATATGTATATATATATATATATATTTATATATACTAGCTGTATGTCATTGCTTCGATATGAAGTGAAATAAATTGAAAGTAGTGCTCTGAAGAAATAAGAAAAATGTTGGCCGACAAAACAAAACAATTTATCACTCTAAACAAAAAATGTATAAATATATATATATATATATATATATATATATATATATATATATATATATATATATATATATATATAATATATAATACAACCAAAAACAATGAACGGAACACATTCTGTTTTGTAATCCTTGTAAAAAAAACAATTTTACATAATCATTCCGAGAATATTAATTAAGGCAAGCGAACTAGGGGAAATAATCACTCTCTTAATAAAAATATGTATATTTCTATAAATTTAATTGTAATTGTCAAAAAATTACTAAGTAAAAAATACGTATTTAATATAGTAGCTTAACAATATTCTTTAATAAGATATGGGTTAGATAACTGTATTGATCACACACCTCTTTACTGGTAATTGCAAAAACAATAGTTACAGAGTTTCACCTGTTTCAAAAGCTATATCCCTAGTTGTCATCCCCTGTTGTTTCACATCAGAATATTCGAGAAAGTTTAGGGGAGATCACTCCCGGTTTATTTTTTTGCACGATTACAAGACTTTCTCTATACTTCATATATACGAGAAAGTAAAAAAGCATAATTTTATTTTTACAATTTACCAACAGTTTTAAGTAAAAATTATTACAAAATGTGGTCTTCGCAAGATCGATCACGAAAGTGAAACTTCAGATTACAATTTAGGCTTCATAAAAATAAATAGAAATGTAGCCTTAAACTTAAACGCAAAAAAAAAAATATTTTTAACGGTTTCTGCATTTGCACCTTAGTAGCCTAACATTGATTTTTAAAATATTATATTTAAAAAAAAATTCAGGCTTAATTAAGTTTTTATTTTTACGCGGCGCTGTCATGAAGGCAACATTTGAAAACAATACGATTTGTTTTCATGTCAAGGATAGTGATGGAAGGCATTTGGTCCAACTCTTTGGGATCCAATAGCTTGCTATGTTTTTTATTAATTAAACAAACTATCCTAATAGAGAGACAAATGTGTAAGTGTCGTTGTTGGCTTTATCACTTATGTGTCGTTGTTGGCTCTATGTGTATGTGTCGTTGTTGGCTGTATGTGTTGTTGTTGGCTGTATGTGTCGTTGTTGGCTCTATGTGTATGTGTCGTTGTTGGCTTTATGTGTCGTATGTCCTACGTGTATGTGTCGCTGTGTCGTGTGTTTAATATGTATGTGTCGCTGTGTCGTGTGTTCAATATGTATGTGTCACTGTGTCGTGTGTCCTATGTGTATGTGTCGCTGTGTCGTGTGTCCAATATGTATGTGTTGCTGTGCCGTATGTCCAATATGTATGTGTCGCCGTGTCGTGTGTCCAATATGTATGTGTCGCCGTGTCGTGTGTCCAATATGTATGTGTCGCCGTGTCGTGTGTCCAATATGTATGTGTCGTGTGTCCAATATGTATGTGTCGCTGTGTCGTGTGTCCAATATGTATGTGTCGTGTGTCCAATATGTATGTGTCGTGTGTCCAATATGTATGTATCGCTGTGTCGTGTGTCCAATATGTATGTGTCGCTGTGTCGTGTGTCCAATATGTATGTGTCGCTGTGTCGTGTGTCCAATATGTATGTGTCGTGTGTCCTATGTGTATGTGTCGCTGTGTCGTGTGTCCAATATGTATGTGTCGTGTGTCCAATATGTATGTGTCGCTGTGTCGTGTGTCCAATATGTATGTGTCGCTGTGTCGTATGTCCTGTGTGTATGTGTCGCTGTGTCGTGTGTCCAATATGTATGTGTCGTGTGTCCAATATGTATGTGTCGCTGTGTCGTGTGTCCAATATGTATGTGTCGCTGTGTCGTGTGTCCAATATGTATGTGTCGTGTGTCCAATATGTATGTGTCGCTGTGTCGTGTGTCCAATATGTATGTGTCGCTGTGTCGTGTGTCCAATATGTATGTGTCGCTGTGTCGTGTGTCCAATATGTATGTGTCGTGTGTCCAATATGTATGTGTCGCTGTGTCGTGTGTCCAATATGTATGTGTCGCTGTGTCGTATGTCCTGTGTGTATGTGTCGCTGTGTCGTGTGTTCAATATGTATGTGTCATTGTGTCGTGTGTCCAATATGTATGTGTCGCGGTGTCGTGTGTCCAATATGTATGTGTCGCTGTGTCGTGTGTCCAATATGTATGTGTCGCTGTGTAGAGTGCCCTATTTTTATTCGTCTTACCGGTTATCTATTGCGTAATTAAGTACTTGCGTCAATGTGTAATGAGATAGGCTGCACAGCTATATGCAGAGTCAAGGACAAACAACGCCTGGCACTGTGGGGATGTAGAGTAATCCAGTTGTCATCTAGTTGACATCTAGTTGACATCAGTTGAAATCTGGCATTTTATTTTAGAACATTAGAAAAGCATTTACACCACAATGCCTTTTATTGTTGAATTGGCACAAATGCCCGTGTGATACTGGGATGGCTAAAAGCACTAGACTGTTTGTTCCACTGTCATTCTAAAGGTACAGCTTTCGTGGGCTATATATGTGGATAGACTGATATGGGGATAAATAGGTAGGTAACCTTCCACATCACAAAATTTAGATACATATCCAAACATTCCAGATTACAAAATGGCGGTTCTGATAAAATATCCAAACTTTTCAGATAACAAAATGGCGATTCAGATAAAATATCCAAACATTCCAGATTACAAAATGGCGGTTCTGATAAAATATCCAAACTTTTCAGATAACAAAATGGCGATTCAGATAAAATATCCAAACTTTTCAGATAAAAAAAATGGCGGTTCAGATGGCGTTAGAATGTTTCCCAAAATGGCGAGTTGCTTTACTGATGTCATTGGCGATCGTATGTAAGTACCACGTGTTACCCATATTCCCCAGACGATAAGATAACCAAACTTTCCCCTAGCAGTAGCAACTCTGAGACTTTCCCCTAGCAGTAGCAACTCTGAGACTTTCCCCTAGCAGTAGCAAGTCTGAGACTTTCCCCTAGCAGTAGCAAGTCTGAGACTTTCCCCTAGCAGTAGCAAGTCTGAGACTTTCCCCTAGCAGTAGCAAGTCTGAGACTTTCCCCTAGCAGTAGCAACTCTGAGACTTTCCCCTAGCAGTAGCAAGTCTGAGACTTTCCCCTAGCAGTAGCAAGTCTGAGACTTTCCCCTAGCAGTAGCAAGTCTGAGACTTTCCCCTAGCAGTAGCAAGTCTGAGACTTTCCCCTAGCAGTAGCAAGTCTGAGACTTTCCCCTAGCAGTAGCAACTCTGAGACTTTCCCCTAGCAGTAGCAAGTCTGAGACTTTCCCCTAGCAGTAGCAAGTCTGAGACTTTCCCCTAGCAGTAGCAACTCTGAGACTTTCCCCTAGCAGTAGCAAGTCTGAGACTTTCCCCTAGCAGTAGCAAGTCTGAGACTTTCCCCTAGCAGTAGCAAGTCTGAGACTTTCCCCTAGCAGTAGCAAGTCTGAGACTTTCCCCTAGCAGTAGCAAGTCTGAGACTTTCCCCTAGCAGTAGCAACTCTGAGACTTTCCCCTAGCAGTAGCAACTCTGAGACTTTCCCCTAGCAGTAGCAAGTCTGAGACTTTCCCCTAGCAGTAGCAAGTCTGAGACTTTCCCCTAGCAGTAGCAAGTCTGAGACTTTCCCCTAGCAACTCTGATACTACAACAAGATTTAAATTTCTTCGGGCTTTGCCCCCCCCCCCCCCCCCGAAAGCAAGTCTACCCCTCCTCAAATGAAATTTATCAATTATACAAGATGTATACTGTTACCAGTGTCTGCACCCCATCCCGGCACCCCCCCCCCCCCTGATCTCTACCCAACCAATGCCTTGTGTTGCCACATGTGTCGGGTCTCAGATAATTTGTTTACAATGGATGATACAAAGAACTTGTCTACGTTTTTTTTTTCAAATTGAAAGACAATACAACTTTACCATCGTTTTATATATAGTCATAATTGTACAAGCGGCCCCACGTGACCAACATCACAGACAGAAGCGCCACCTACTGCAGATGTGTGAGCTGATTGTCTCCCACACCAACAGGTCATGTCTGGACTACAACAACTACGGCTGTTTCTGTGGGCTGGGGATGACGGGCGGGGAGCCGGTGGACGCCATTGATGGGTACATTACTTCTTACTTTGTCTGGACGCCATTGATGGGTACATTTCTTCTTACTCTGTCTGGACGCCATTGATGGGTACATTACTTCTTACTTTGTCTGGACGCCATTGATGGGTACATTACTTCTTACTCTGTCTGGACGCCATTGATGGGTACATTTCTTCTTACTCTGTCTGGACGCCATTGATGGGTACATTACTTCTTACTTTGTCTGGACGCCATTGATGGGTACATTACTTCTTACTCTGTCTGGACGCCATTGATGGGTACATTTCTTCTTACTTTGTCTGGACGCCGCCCTTCCTAGTTTTTTAGCACAAAAATCAACTGAAATTTTGACAGTTTTCTCCGTTTTCACCTCCCTACTTTATCGTATACGGAATATCAGATGTATTGTAAACGTGAAAAAAATCTAAATCGAGAGATGCCTGGAAGAAACTCCGTGACTGAGTCGTCAAATGCCTTGACTGATATTTGCCTAATGACATGACTGAGGTTTGTCTAATGACATCAGAGGCGTAGCGACCCTTCCCGGCGCCCCACCCCCTCGAACTTTTCATTTGCACCCCCGCCCCCCTCTCAAACTTTTCATTTGCACCCCCCTTCAAATTTTCAATTTGGCGCCCACCCCAAGGTCGGCGCCCGGGGACACATGTCCCCCGCCCCCCCCCCCTCGCTACGCCTCTGAATGACATGACTGAGTCGCCTGATGAGATGACTGAGTCACCTGATGAGATGACTGAGTCACCTGATGAGATGACTGAGTCGCCTGATGAGATGACTGAGTCGCCTGATGAGATGACTGAGTCACCTGATGAGATGACTGAGTCACCTGATGAGATGACTGAGTCGCCTGATGAGATGACTGAGTCACCTGATGAGATGACTGAGTCACCTGATGAGATGACTGAGTCGCCTGATGAGATGACTGAGTCACCTGATGAGATGACTGAGTCACCTGACTCCTAGCTTCGGTCTGTGATCCCCAGGTGTTGCCACGAGCACGACCTTTGCTATGGACGAGTCCGGTGTTTTTGGTTCTACCCTCAGCTTGTTGGCTACCAGGTCACGTGTCAGGGTGACCTGTGCACATGTGAAGGTCAGTGACCTACCCAGGCTGTGTAGGCCGTTGTAAGGTTAACACGTGGGGTGGTCAAATATTGTATATGTGTACAATTGTGTGTGCGGTAATTAGATTGTACACTTGTGTGTGCGGTAATTAGATTGTACACTTGTGTGTGCGGTAATTAGATTGTACACTTGAGTGTGCGGTAATTAGATTGTACACTTGTGTGTGCGGTAATTAGATTGTACACTTGTGTGTGCGGTAATTAGATTGTACACTTGTGTGTGCGGTAATTAGATTGTACACTTGTGTGTGCGGTAATTAGATTGTACACTTGTGTGTGCGGTAATTAGATTGTACACTTGTGTGTGCGGTAATTAGATTGTACACTTGAGTGTGCGGTAATTAGATTGTACACTTGTGTGTGCGGTAATTAGATTGTACCCTTGTGTGTGCGGTAATTAGATTGTTTTTTTTTTCTCTCCTCCAGACCACTATTTGTTTTCGCCTTGTGCCCACACAACCTGCCAGTGTGACGTCGAGTTTTCCCAGTGCTTGGCCAGATACGAATACAATCTTGGTTTTAAAAATTACGACCGACTTCAATGCGCTGCCAATAGTCCAAGTCCCACAACTGTGTTAGATTCTGTCTGAGAATCGCCTTGTCACTTTTGCCACTTTGACCCCCATTGCCGCACATAAAATTGGATTTAACATAGTTTATTGTAAACTTTTACTTACTTCACAATGTCTGTCTGTCTGTCTGTCTGTGGCAAACTTTATAACTATAACTCAGTTTTGAGTGTGAGTTCATGGGCTACACACAGAAGTGTGTACGGGGCTAATGAGCTACACACAGAAGTGTGGGTTAATGGGCTACACACAGAAGTGTGTACGAGGCTAATGGGCTACACACAGAAGTGTGAGCTAATGGGCTACACACAGAAGTGTGAGCTAATGGGCTACACACAGAAGTGTGAGCTAATGGGCTACACACAGAAGTGTGGGTTAATGGGCTACACACAGAAGTGTGAGCTAATGGGCTACACACAGAAGTGTGAGCTAATGGGCTACACACAGAAGTGTGAGCTAATGGGCTACACACAGAAGTGTGAGCTAATGGGCTACACACAGAAGTGTGAGCTAATGGGCTACACACATAAGTGTGTACGGGGCTAATGGGCTACACACAGAAGTATGTACGGAGCTAATGGGCTACATACAGAAGTGTGAGCTAATGGGCTACACACAGAAGTGTGTGCGGGGCTAATGGGCTACACACAGAAGTGTGAGCTAATGGGCTACACACAGAAGTGTGGGTTAATGGGCTACACACAGAAGTGTGGGTTAATGGGCTACACACAGAAGTGTGGGTTAATGGGCTACACACAGAAGTGTGGGTTAATGGGCTACACACAGAAGTGTGGGCTAATAGCTTCACACAGAAGTGTGAGCTAATGGGCTACACACAGAAGTGTGAGCTAATGGGCTACACACAGAAGTGTGGGTTAATGGGCTACACACAGAAGTGTGGGTTAATGTGCTACACACAGAAGTGTGGGTTAATGGGCTACACACAGAAGTGTGGGTTAATGGGCTACACACAGAAGTGTGGGTTAATGGGCAACACACAGAAGTGTGTACGAGGCTAATAGGCTACACACAGAAGTGTGGGTTAATGGGCTACACACAGAAGTGTGAGCTAATGGGCTACACACAGAAGTGTGTACGGGGCTAATAGGCTACACACAGAAGTGTGAGCTAATGGGCTACACACAGAAGTGTGGGTTAATGGGCTACACACATAAGTGTGTACGGGGCTTATGGGCTACACACACGTATGGGCTACACAAATAAGTGTGGGTTAATGGGCTACACACAGAAGTGTGGGTTAATGGGCTACACACAGAAGTGTGAGCTAATGGGCTACACACAGAAGTGTGGGTTAATGGGCTACACACAGAAGTGTGTACGAGGCTAATAGGCTACACACAGAAGTGTGAGCTAATGGGCTACACACAGAAGTGTGGGCTAATGGGCTACACACAGAAGTGTGAGCTAATGGGCTACACACATAAGTGTGTACGGGGCTTATGGGCTACACACAGAAGTGTGGGTTAATGGGCTACACACATAAGTGTGTACGGGGCTAATAGGCTACACACAGAAGTGTGTACGGGGCTTATGGGCTACACACACGTATGGGCTACACACAGAAGTGTGGGTTAATGGGCTACACACAGAAGTGTGGGCTAATGGGCTACACACAGAAGTGTGAGCTAATGGGCTACACACATAAGTGTGTACGGGGCTTATGGGCTACACACAGAAGTGTGGGTTAATGGGCTACACACAGAAGTGTGTACGAGGCTAATAGGCTACACACAGAAGTGTGAGCTAATGGGCTACACACAGAAGTGTGGGTTAATGGGCTACACACAGAAGTGTGGGTTAATGAGCTACACACAGAAGTGTGTACGAGGCTAATAGGCTACACACAGAAGTGTGAGCTAATGGGCTACACACAGAAGTGTGGGTTAATGAACTACACACAGAAGTGTGGGTTAATGGGCTACACACAGAACTGTGGCTCTGTGGGCTAATGGGTTACACACACAAGTATGGGCTGCACACAGAAGTGTGGGCTAATGGGCTACATTAGATGCCAAATACACACACACACGGTCATTTAATGCCGGAAGACATTACACCGGAAGTCTGTTTGTTGGAACTACTCCCCACCTGCCCGTGTCTGCTAGAGCACGCTGCCAGCAATCGCAGGATGAAAGCCTCGACAGGTGAGTTGCAGGGAAAGTCGGTCAACAGGTGAGTTCTATAGGTTCTGGTCAGTTGTATAGACATGACTCTCTGGTCAGTTGTATAGACATGACTCTCTGGTCAGTTGTATAGACATGACTCTCTGGTCAGTTGTATAGACATGACTCTCTGGTCAGTTGTATAGACATGACTCTCTGGTCAGTTGTATAGACATGACTCTCTGGTCAGTTGTATAGACATGACTCTCTGGTCAGTTGTATAGACACGACTCTCTGGTCAGTTGTATAGACATGACTCTCTGGTCAGTTGTATAGACAAGACTCTCTGGTCAGTTGTATAGACATGACTCTCTGGTCAGTTGTATAGACATGACTCTCTGGTCAGTTGTATAGACATGACTCTCTGGTCAGTTGTATAGACATGACTCTCTGATCAGTTGTATAGACATGACTCTCTGGTCAGTTGTATAGACATGACTCTCTGGTCAGTTGTATAGACATGACTCTCTGGTCAGTTGTATAGACATGACTCTCTGGTCAGTTGTATAGACATGACTCTCTGGTCAGTTGTATAGACATGACTCTCTGGTCAGTTGTATAGACATGACTCTCTGGTCAGTTGTATAGACATGACTCTCTGGTCAGTTGTATAGACATGACTCTCTGGTCAGTTGTATAGACTAGACATGACTCTCTGGTCAGTTGTATAGACATGACTCTCTGGTCAGTTGTATAGACATGACTCTCTGGTCAGTTGTATAGACATGACTCTGGTCAGTTGTATAGACATGACTCTCTGGTCAGTTGTATAGACATGACTCTCTGGTCAGTTGTATAGACATGACTCTCTGGTCAGTTGTATAGACATGACTCTCTGGTCAGTTGTATAGACATGACTCTCTGGTCAGTTGTATAGACATGACTCTCTGGTCAGTTGTATAGACATGACTCTCTGGTCAGTTGTATAGACATGACTCTCTGGTCAGTTGTATAGACATGACTCTCTGGTCAGTTGTATAGACATGACTCTCTGGTCAGTTGTATAGACATGACTCTGGTCAGTTGTATAGACATGACTCTCTGGTCAGTTGTATAGACATGACTCTCTGGTCAGTTGTATAGACATGACTCTCTGGTCAGTTGTATAGACATGACTCTCTGGTCAGTTGTATAGACATGACTCTGGTCAGTTGTATAGACATGACTCTCTGGTCAGTTGTATAGACATGACTCTCTGGTCAGTTGTATAGACATGACTCTCTGGTCAGTTGTATAGACATGACTCTCTGGTCAGTTGTATAGACATGACTCTGGTCAGTTGTATAGACATGACTCTCTGGTCAGTTGTATAGACATGACTCTCTTGTCAGTTGTATAGACTAGACATGACTCTCTGGTCAGTTGTATAGACATGACTCTCTGGTCAGTTGTATAGACATGACTCTCTGGTCAGTTGTATAGACATGACTCTCTGGTCAGTTGTATAGACATGACTCTCTGGTCAGTTGTATAGACATGACTCTCTGGTCAGTTGTATAGACATGACTCTCTGGTCAGTTGTATAGACATGACTCTCTGGTCAGTTGTATAGACATGACTCTCTGGTCAGTTGTATAGACATGACTCTCTGGTCAGTTGTATAGACATGACTCTCTGGTCAGTTGTATAGACATGACTCTCTGGTCAGTTGTATAGACATGACTCTCTGGTCAGTTGTATAGACATGACTCTCTGGTCAGTTGTATAGACATGACTCTCTGGTCAGTTGTATAGACATGACTCTCTGGTCAGTTGTATAGACATGACTCTCTGGTCAGTTGTATAGACATGACTCTCTGGTCAGTTGTATAGACATGACTCTCTGGTCAGTTGTATAGACATGACTCTCTGGTCAGTTGTATAGACATGACTCTCTGGTCAGTTGTATAGACATGACTCTCTGGTCAGTTGTATAGACATGACTCTCTGGTCAGTTGTATAGACATGACTCTCTGGTCAGTTGTATAGACATGACTCTCTGGTCAGTTGTATAGACATGACTCTCTGGTCAGTTGTATAGACATGACTCTCTGGTCAGTTGTATAGACATGACTCTCTGGTCAGTTGTATAGACATGACTCTCTGGTCAGTTGTATAGACATGACTCTCTGGTCAGTTGTATAGACATGACTCTCTGGTCAGTTGTATAGACATGACTCTCTGGTCAGTTGTATAGACATGACTCTCTGGTCAGTTGTATAGACATGACTCTGGTCAGTTGTATAGACATGACTCTGGTCAGTTGTATAGACATCACTCTCTGGTCAGTTGTATAGACATGACTCTCTGGTCAGTTGTATAGACATGACTCTCTGGTCAGTTGTATAGACATGACTCTCTGGTCAGTTGTATAGACATGACTCTCTGGTCAGTTGTATAGACATGACTCTGGTCAGTTGTATAGACATGACTCTCTGGTCAGTTGTATAGACATGACTCTCTGGTCAGTTGTATAGACTAGACATGACTCTCTGGTCAGTTGTATAGACATGACTCTCTGGTCAGTTGTATAGACATGACTCTCTGGTCAGTTGTATAGACATGACTCTCTGGTCAGTTGTATAGACATGACTCTCTGGTCAGTTGTATAGACATGACTCTCTGGTCAGTTGTATAGACATGACTCTGGTCAGTTGTATAGACATGACTCTCTGGTCAGTTGTATAGACATGACTCTCTGGTCAGTTGTATAGACATGACTCTCTGGTCAGTTGTATAGACATGACTCTCTGGTCAGTTGTATAGACATGACTCTGGTCAGTTGTATAGACATGACTCTCTGGTCAGTTGTATAGACATGACTCTCTGGTCAGTTGTATAGACATGACTCTCTGGTCAGTTGTATAGACATGACTCTCTGGTCAGTTGTATAGACATGACTCTCTGGTCAGTTGTATAGACATG